GCATTGGTAGTGCTACTGTAAGGGGCAAGCCAAGCTAAAATGAAAGGCCCGGGCTTATTATACTGTCCCGGAGCTTCCGGTCTGATTCGACCCATATTTGACACTGTAATGGCAAAGGTCCAAAAATGTCCAAACCCACTCCACCTTAGCGTTGCATAAAGCTTGAATTTGGCTGGAGGCTGTGATATTCCGAGCTGGGGATATGCACTGTCGCGGCGCTCATCGGTTCTCCATATCATTCTTGCTTTTCACCTGTGGGGTAGGCACACGGTCGAGACAGGCAAAGAATGGATATGCTAAATGTAGATCAGCAGTGTAAAACTGATAGAACCGATTAAACACATATAAAACCAGGATAGAAGAATCTTATTAACATATATAACATATAATCAAAGAATGTCCCACATGGCCTGGCCAGATCCTCTCGACACTTGGAACTGAATAGGAATTGAAAACCACCGCTGACTTTGCTGCATCCCACGGGTGTGTCCTGGTGGGTCATGTCAATACTGTTAACATCATTGCTCTTGTTGTTGCCGAGCTGGCTATTGTTGCTACTATCAGTATTACCATGTATAACGAAACTAGTATTTCCAATGCTGCTACTATTTTGGCGATTGTCGTTCGATGCAAGCATGCCCAAACTAGCAAATATTATCAGAGCCTTCGCGGATCATTCACGCAGCCCGCAGCCTCGAAAAGCTGATGGTTTCTACTCCTGTGATTGAATGATGTGAGTATGTCATTTCCAAAAACTGGCAGCTCTGCACAGCCAAATCGCACCTCCAGAGTCCATTGCTTGGAGTTGAGTTCGGCAAACCAAGCACACGGTAAAAGCTTCTGAAAATATCATGAAGTTTCTGGAGAATAATGGTTCTGCGAAACAGTTGCTTGCAATGATATTCTTACAGCCTTCGCGGTTTCGAGCATTTCACACACATATATATATATGGTACTCATCTGTTGCATAGCAACCATTGCTAGTTGCCTCTTCAATTCCGTACTGTGATTCTCTATTCTTTTTGCAAAGCAGTCAAACAGCCTGGAAACTTTCAATGGCAGCAGCCACCCATGTCACTTTTCCTTGCAGGTTTTACATGCAAAATACTGTAGTGTTAATTTGAGTATAGAAGATTTGAGTAGATCAGATATCTGTAGTACCACTCCAAATTGACGCCAATCCCAGGATAGGCCTTGTGTTCCTTTTGTTTGGAAACTGGGTGACGATCTTGACGATCTGACGAACTGGATCATAGACGCTAATGCCATGGCTGTCTTTTAGTCAATGCCCAGCTCCGTCTTCCAAACATTTCCAAACCATATCAAGCAGGATCTATTGAGTCTATTGAATCGATTACGATCTTGTCTTTCCCATCTTTCCCGGAAAACCAGGGCCCAGCAATCATTGCAGAATTTTTCTCCGCTCTGGGTGACAGTCTTGTCCCATCGGTTCCAGCAGAGCTCAGGTCCATTTCGGTTCGCGTCAGCAGATGAAAAAAGGGATCTTGCACTCCCTTGGGAGGTCGCAAGCTGCTGACTCGTGCAAGTCTCGGGCAGATCGCCTTGAGCTTGTCTCTGGCGAAAGTGATTGAAATGGAACACAGCCGCTTGAAGCAAGAAAACAACATGAAAACAACATGACCTATGCCAGTCAACATCACGGGATGGCTTCAACAGAACGGCTGCGTTGGTGCCGTGGTTGGCAGATTGGTCAGCAAGGGAGCAGTCCCAACATTTGGAAGAACAACTATACTCAATATGCATCATTGAATATGTTCTTATCAAAACTGAGAATTAGTAAACACAAGGAATGGAAAACATGAATAAAGATAATAAGGGAGGAAGACCTCGATGAGCAAGCCACGTCTCTGGATGAGCAACCAGAGTTTTATTCCTCCAATCTCGCAATCTCGTTCGTCTGCTTGCAACTGTAAACCCATCGAGCAAGGTGGATGAGAACATTTTTGGTATTGTGCTATGTTGCTTTAATTCTCACCAAGCATGCTCCCTCACTGTATCCGAAATCCTGCCACTGTATATGCATCACATCACAAGGCAAGATGCTCAACCTCCCGTGCTCCTTGGGACCGTAACTGCCCCCAGAAATAAATCGAATGCTGGTCTGAGTAACGAGCTCATGATTCATGTACCGTAAATGGTGGATATACCAGAAATAGTCTTTCACTGATGACCTCAGAATGACCAGTTTTTCCTGCTTGACACTGAATGTGGCCGCTTTGGGGCCGCTGATGGCCTCAACCAACTCTGCAGGTATTCTGTATTCTGCAGAACTAGCATTGACTAGCCCCGGTTTGGGTCCATAGTTCCAGATTCGGTACTCCCAACCGACTTGATCAGATGAACTCTGACTTGCAGCATGTAGCTTGGCAGGCTGAGCAGCGTGTGCAGCTGAATTGCAGCAGAATTTGAGTCCTGAAGGAACCCGGTTTTTGACAGCCAGAATGGTTGCAAAAGGGCCCAATGACTATTCATGACTTGATGTCTGGGGTTGAAGGAGCATCCAAACAGTTTCCAATCACAGCATTGATCCACTTTGAACCGTTGATTTTCCTATTACATCCTATTACTTTCGCCACCTGAGATCCTTTGAAGCAGCTTGAGACACCACTTACAATGAGTGCTACCTTGGATGTATCATTCTTTTCCAGGCCTGTCGGGTCCTTTAGTCTCAAAGTATCTCATATGCAAGTCTGATGCTTTTTCTCCCAGACTGTTTTGGTTCTTCCAGCTTAGATGGCTGTATTAAATTCCAAATACCTGCTCACGAAGATTGAATACGAATACAGAAAGTGAAGAAACTATTGAATTGGAGCAGAAAGTGTATGAAAGGAACATATGATATTGACTTGCTATCAACTTTGAGCACCATGATCAATGCTGATCTGCTCCTCTGTTTGCTATGCCACCAGGATGTCAACAGTTCGTCGAAGAAAACAGTTTGGGAGCTCAGTATAATTCTATCTCCTATGCTTCGACTTGTACGGAAGGAGCGAATCTGCACTGACCGGGGTGCGAACATGTGAGTGGCAGTGAGGATGCCATGAGATTGACGGCACACCTGTGAACTTAGACTTGAAGCACACATTCGAGCACACATTCAAAATATTCAAATACACAAGTATCTGTGGTATAATTAGTATATGCATGTATATGCTATGACATGGTATGGTACAATGGTCGTGCAAGGCGACGGTATGCAAGGCAATGGCATGCAATGGTATGGTATGTGCAGTACGATTCGACGCATCTATGCCTGTCTGTCTGTATACAGCCATGCATGTATGTGCATGCATGCACCTGCATGTACTCACAATGCACTTCGCAGTGCGGGGATGCTGTGTACTGCAAATGCAAACAATAAAAGGTACATAAATATCATCATGATCATGATCGTCATCGTCATCATACACACACACACACACACATATATATATAATAAAATGAGCTTTTGCAGCACCCCGATGTTCAGTGCTAACTTGTGGTTCACTCAGAGGAACATGACCCCTTAAACACAGGTCAATTTCGAGTGAGCGAAGACTCCTTTGCAGCAACAGTCAGTTGCCCAAGGCTTTGCTGATCGGTCGCACGGACACACTGCAGATTAAATCAAGGACTTGCTGTAGGAGAACCATTCTGAACCGATGCAACACCTGTTAAAGTGAGTGGTCACTAGCTGTCACATCATCATATTAATACAAGCACAATAACTAACACAATAACAACAATATACAATTGTTACACATCTTTAGTTTCGTCGTGATCATAATATGTTTGTATCCTCATCTTCTATCTACATATATCTGGGTAAATTATAATATTTCACTATCCTGAAATAAGGCCAATTGGGGATGATTTCCTTTATTAATCATGATTCCAGTGAGGTCGCAGTGAGGTCGTTATAATTTACCCAGATGTAATATATACGTCTATATATATATATTATGAATGTATCAAGTGGTGTCCGTCACGCCTTCGTCTATGCGATATGACCGCCTACTTTCCAGCGCCTTCCAGTAGGCCCTCAGTCAAGTTCTATGGCTGCTAAGACCTGGACATACACCCTATGGATCAACATGGCCATTTTGATGGGAACATGATCATATGACGACCATCGGGATTTGGGGGTACCCTATTCTTGGACTAAGCCAGATGGTTTGAGCATGTTTGAGCATGTTTGAGCAAAAAACCAGTGGAACTTGAAACAGCTGGAACATGAATGAACATGATATGAAAGCGATGCACATCCGTTCGTGAACGTGCGTGCAACACCGGCTGAACACTTGAAGAACCCCCATACAAAAATATGGGGTGCGATTTTTTTTTTTGGGTCGTCCAGGCTCCCTTCCTTGGTTTTTGCAACTAAAATCACTCATTTGCTGCATTTTGTAGCTAAAATCTCTCATTCGTTCTGTTCATCAATTTTTCGACTGGTTTCAGTTTTTTTTTCAATGGTTTCTATCGAGTTTTCCATCGTTTTCATTGGTTTGTCCATGATTTGCATGGTTTTCTTCAATTTTTCCATGGTTTTCTTCAATTTTTCCATGGTTTTCTTCAATTGTTGTTTTCTTCGATTGTCTCATGGTTTTCTTCGATTGTCTCATGGTTTTCTTCAATTGTTCCATTGTTTTTTTGAATTTTCCATGGTTTCCTTCAATTTTCCATTGTTTTCTTCAATTTTCCATATATAAATTTAAACATAAATATAAATAGTCGAATCAAACTAGTGTATTGAAAAGTGTGCAAGTTTGACATACCAAAAATACCACCAAAAGCCACGGAAAGCAAAAGCGAAAAGCGAAAAGCCAAAAGCTACGGAACCAGGACAAAAAAAAAAATCTCCCCCAAAAAAAATCCAAAAAAATACCCCTCCAAAGATATACAAGGTACAATTGTATACAATTGTCATCACTTTCATCTTTCAAACAATGATGAATGAACATCATGAAACACTTGCAAATCTTGCCATTCGTGTAGAGCTTTTAACATCTTTTAACACTCACCAAAGCTTCATCATGCTTCATCCAAATCATCCATGGATTTTTCGGCGCCTGGTCCTTGTCCTGGGCACAAATCTCCTGCACCAGGTCCCGCAAAGCTGGACCGCTGCGAAAGACTCGAGAGCCCAAATGGCGGATGAGGCCTGGCACCGCTAACAACGGATCAACACAGGATAAATCACATTGATGTATACATGTACTGTATATACATATTAAATCATATTAATATATATATATATATTACACATCAATAACTACATATTGTCATATTTATCAATACATTGATCCATTTGATCCATTGATCATCAGTGATCAATGTTGTTATCGAAGGGTGTCTAAATGATGATCAAACAACTGTAGCAGAAGTGCTGAGGGAAACATAAGAAACACATAGAAACAGGGTTTGAAGGCTGCGAGCAAAAGTGTTGAATTGAGGCGATCGAAGCTCTGAACCGAACATGCTCCGCAACTGCACAGTTAAAACTACTCGACCAGAATGCACACTGCTAGAGACCATGGCAACCATCCTACAAAACGGATGGGTTTCCATAGCATGCGAAGAGAACCCCAGAATTCAAACCGTCCGTGCTATGTTCCAGCACACCATTCCCTCTTTCTGATCTTTCTGTGCCTGGATTGCCGTCCAAAGGCTGCAGTATCTGGCTTGCGACCAGAAGCCTCCGCTGTCAGAAGTGCAACTGCAGAACTTCATGAGGAGACGACATCAAGATTCCCCATGCCACATCAATGAGCACTAACTAACTCAAAAAATAACCTCTACATAGGGAACTTGACTGTCTGATGAGTCTGATTCAAACCACGCACCACAGGGAATAAAACTCCAGGACAACAAAAAACCTGAGACCGACAGAGTCAAACAGAGTCAATGCTAGTTCGCTGCCGAGGCTCTTTGCCACTTCACTGCTTTGCCGCAATTGTGCTCTGGCTCGGCCCTGGCATGATTTCATCCCCCAGAAGTTGCAGGACCAGCCCTTCGTGGCCCCGGCATTTTTGTTTTGACATGTAGTCAAAGCAAATGAGTCAAGTGCACTGGATTACACTGGATTACACTGGATTACACTCGTTATCTTCATTTTTTCATTGTTTTTTGAGGCGTTTCTTATGTTTCTTGTCTCGACAAAACGTGACAAAACCATCAGCGGAGCCTCGGACAAGCTCTCAGCTGCGAGGAAATCCGAAGGTTCTAGGGGCCGATGTACTCGTCGCAAGAAGAGCGCAGCGCTGCGTGACGCATCCAAGCCGGTCAGTTCGATATTCCTTGAGGAGCGTGTGCAATCGAAATGGTTTCAGAATGGAAGGTTCCTGTGACTTACCATGACGCATGCATACACAGGCCATATCTGGAAGGATAGTAGAGAATTCAACGAATTTCCGTCCCTGTGTCATGGAGGAATCCCGATGCCAACCCACTTCCTGTGTCTCTTTGGCACTATCCAAATAGGCACGCATCCGCACAGGGATGACCCATGATGACCCATGATGACCCATGATGACCCATGATGACCCATGATGACCCATGATGACCCATGATGACCTAGTCAACCAATGTCAACCTGGCGATACCTGGCGTTATTGTTCTTTTTTCAGCCGTCTGATCCGTCTGATAATGCATATTAATGCATCACCAGAGTTTGCCTTGATGGACCATCACAAATGACATCCTGTTCCGGTCTGCCACATTTAAGGCTCCGAGGATCAACAGATATCAAAAAGCGCTTCCCTTTGAGTGTCCCATTGGTGCCACCAAGGTTCACTACCTTGGTGGAACCCAAGGAGTCATGCAAAGGCTGTGGGCTGCACAGGAGCAATGCCAAACCTGGACGTTGCGGGTGGTTCAACACCAAGGCAAGATCCCAGCCAAAACACATAGATGGCCTGTAATTTCCTTCCAAAAACAAAAAGAGACCAAAAGCACTGGGATATACTGGGATAATTGATAATATTAAAGCGGCAAACCTGGTGATTTCCAAAGTCAAATCCGACATCTACATACCCTCTGAGCAACGGTGGGTCTTGCGGAGCACTTCGGCCAGCAGACCTCAGTGGTTTAGCCAACGGCGACGTTTTATATAATTCTTTGGCTTGAACTATGTTTTGAAGGCATGCAAATTCAATTTGAAAGGTCAAAGCACAACATTGTGGACTCCCCAATCCCCACAAACAGGCCGTTTGGATCAGTTTGGGTTGCCTCTAAACCTTGAGGTTTTGCCCAGCACTCAGCATGCGTATGGTGTCTGCAAGAAATGAAGGTACTGGCAAATGAAGTGTGGCATTGGGAATATTATTGGATCGGGATCTTGAAAGTGCTGGCCAGATTTCTTTCGTAACAGTTTTGCTTTGGGATGCTTTGGGTCCCATGTTTTATTTACGCGCAGAGGAGATGAATTTCCACCACTGATTGGCAGCACGCTGACTGACTGACTGACAGTTTGAACCATGAAATATGGATTGCCAGTGGAAGGATACCAAATTGGCAATGATCACAGACTATGGAGCATGTATGAAAATGTTCCTGCTCGTTGAAGAAAATATAGCCAAGCCACTGCGTAAAGGCTTGCTTTCCAAAGCATTGCACTCATCATCCAAAACCAGCAGCATCGGGGCATGTGCTCTGCACCTGCAAGCTTTCAGATGGAAAGAAGAAAATAAATGAATTTCAGTCCACCTGTAATCCGTGTCGATAGGAGGCCTATGTGCGTTTTAGAGGATCAAATACCAGCTCCCTTGTCCAGCCTTTCGAGGTGTTGCAACTGCCAAACCGTGCAGCTTGCTTGACCCACGGGGTTTCTGCCATCAGATTCAAAGAAGCATTGCTTCTGCCTGCCAGGTCAAGTCGGCACCGAAACGAAATCAAGACATATCAAGACCACAAAACCCAAATAACCCAAATGGATCTGAATACATTGCCAGGACGTAAGGACTTCCTTAGGACTTATCAAGGACAGTGACAGTGTGGAATGCATTTGAACGTGAAATCACTTATATAACTAGCATGTTAAATACAGGAACTACATTTTCAGTAAACCGTATATTTCAATACTAGCTTATATTTAAATGTCGTTACCGCAGTTATCTTATGATATCTTATGAGTATGTGAAACGTAAACAGTCCCGAGGTCTCAACGTCCATAGAACTCTCCCAAAATGTCCCTACCCGTCTCTTCACCTCGCCGCGAAAAAGTCGACAGATTCCTCGTGGTGAAGCTCAGAAGCGGGTGGAAAAGATGCAGGGCACATGTCCCTCCGGAGTCCCTGGTGGCCATCCAAACAAAGCAACTCTGCAACGATAAGAAGCCCGGCTGCGCATGGATATCAGACACAAAAGTGCAGAAAGCAGGAAGAAAGCAGCGGATTTGCAGCACGCAAGCGCATTCTACCCAAGGCCCAAGTGCCCAACATGAATACATTGTGATGGGTTCACTTCATGCCGATCCCGTTTCAATTTAGGAAGCGCTAAGACTCACTTCCTAGTCAGTGCTGTTCCAATATGTTCCAGTCAGAAATCTGGGTTCTACCATCTGGTAAACTAACATAACTATGGAAAATCACCATTTTTAATGGGAAAATCCACTATAAATGGCCATTTTCAATAGCAAACAGTTAAATTACCAGAGGGTAAATATTTCATCCGAAACACATATGGTGACCTTACAGGTATCATCCGAAACAACTGCAGCACATGGCGCCATGCAGTCCTTGATCGTCGTCAAAGCTTCCTCCTTGTCTTCCAGTCTCACGTGCAGGACGTTGCCAGAGAACAGCCTCTGCCAAAACTGGCTCCAGCAAATGAGTTTGAGATGGCCAACTATATGATCAAATGATATCCCATGATATCAAATGACTCTGCATGTACTGCACCAAAAATCAACAACATATGAAGTATCTGCGACATCCTTCCACATTTATGTGCATGACATTCCAGCGGAAAAAAACAACTTAAAGCTGGCAGTTTTCATGTGCTCGAGAACTATGCTGACAACATATTACACTCAGCTTCGTTCGTTCTGCAAAGGTTTTTTGCTCCTTCTACGCATGTAATAACTTTGAAGACACTTCTCCAACCGTCCACCAGCCTTCCAGGGCTTGCTGCAAAACGAGCGAGCTCGATGCCCAAAGCAGATTTGCCGATGCCCTGACATTTACCACTAACATCGGCAGGGTATCACTTCACGGTATCCGTCAAGGTCACATTAGAAAGTGGAGAACCAATGATAGCTATGGCTGGTGCAAATGTTTGGTCTGTTGTTTTTTTTGGGTTCGTGTTTGTGAGATGTTGTTGATCGCGTAAAAGAACAACCAATCCTATGGGTGGTATGGGAAATACCAGGGCATGCCGAAGGAACCTAGGATGGCTTCGTAAGATTCAACATGGAGATGTCATCACGCATCCATATTGTGGCGACCTCATGTGAGATCTTGAATGATCTGGAGAGTCCCATCTTACCATCAAAGGCTGTCCATGGTCCATGTTTCCATCGCTCGATCTGAGTCGATCCCAGTGCATACCTCTCTGCTCCCCACCCTTGGCCAACTGACCTTGCAGCCGTGCACAGCGCAAGCGCGACGGTTGCGAAGAAACATTAGCACCTGGAAAGGTCCAAACGACGGGCTGCACGGGCTGCAGCTGCTGTGATGGTACTGATGGTACGGTTCCCGGCATCCATGGTACCCAGGCTTAGGGCCTGTCATGGGAGCTGTCATTCAAGGTATGCCTGAAATTGTTTGAACATGTTTGAAGTCATTCGGACTCTGTCCCTGACCAAAACTTAGGGTGTGCTTTGACGGCTGAAGAATCTTGCATCTTAAAACAAATAAATCATGGGGCTTTCCAAGGCCCCCGTTCAAGTTTCGAACATCATCATTAGTCGAATACTGGCAAACCTTCGGAAATGCTATGGAAGGGACTTTCTTCGGGCACCTTTGAATGCAGATCTTCACGTCAGTTGCCGACCCTTAGAGCCCCAGCACCCCAAAGCAACACCCCAAGGCCTGCTGCATGGCTGGGGGACGAAAAAAATCTTCCACCTGTGGTGGTAAAAATGTGAGCTGCTCTTGCAAATTGCATGCATCCTGGCAAGGCCGGCGACGGCGCGAAAAAACATTACAAGGCGCTGCAAGATGCACCCTTGCCTTGGAGAATTTGCACCAAAGCAAACAGATGTAATACTGTATCACCATTATTCACTATGTAAAAAAAACACAGTAACTACAACTCACAGGGCAATATGACCCTTGTCGGGAATGGGGTACTTGGGCCTTTGAATTGAAAACAAAAGGTTGCATCTTACAACTTACAACACTTCCCCGTAGTCAGGTAACAGTTATACCAGTAGTACCGCACAAGGCGGTGGCGGAAGTTTCAAAAATAGGAAACCTATAGGAGAGGTTGGTTGTAGGGAATCACGGATGGCAAAGCGAAGCCACTGATGGACTGAAAGGTGGTTGAGGTCTCCTCTCTCTTTCTCTCTCTTTCTCTATCTTTCTCTCTCTTTCTCTCTATTTCTCTGATTATCTACCTGCCTGCCTATCTGCCTGCCTACCGTCTGTCTATCCATCTGTCTATCTATCTATCTATCTAGCTATCTATCTATCTTTCTATCTAGCTATCTATCTATCTAGCTATCTAGCTGTGTATCTATGTATCTATCTAGCTGTCTATCTATCTATCTATCTATCTGTCTGTCCACCTGTCTATCTATCTGTCTATCTGTCTATCTATCTGTCTATCTGCCTATCTATCTGTCTATCTGTCTATCTGTCTATCTGTCTATCTGTCTATCTGTCTGTCTATCTATCGATCTATCCATCTATCTATCTATCTATCTCTATCTATCTCATCTGTCTATCTAACTGTGCATCTAGCTATCTAGCTATCGACCTATCGATCTATCTATCTCTCTGTCTGTCTATCTATCTACCTGTCTATCTGCAAGCTTGAAAGCCAAGCTATTCTGCGAGACTTCTTCATTTTTCAAAGTTGACAACATCAAAAACGCAGCAATTCTGCGAGACTTCCTCATTTTTCAAAGTTGACATCATCAAGAACGAAGCAATTCTCCGAGACGTCCTCAATGTTTGCACGTGACAACTTCAAAAACGAAGCAATTCTGCGAGACTTCTTGATTTTTCGAAGTTGACAACATCAAAAACGAAGCACTTCTGCGAGACTTCCTGATTCCTCATTTTTTGAAGAATTTTGAAGTTGACAGCATCAAAAACGAAGCAATTCTGCGAGACTTCCTCATTTTTCGAAGTTGACAACATCAAAAACGAAAGAATTCTGCGAGACTTCCTTCAAAAATGGAAAGTTGAGTGCAGAGCTGATGGCCTCGTACCAATGCGTTTTGCGATTTTTCCAGTCCACCTGTCTAAAGTATTGCGCCTGCCACGAAAAAGTGATGCCAGGTCATACGAAGTGCTGCACCTGTCACGCAAAATCATCTTAGCAAACCTGAAGACCTGATGCTCCAAAATGCAACCCCTCTCAGGAAATCAGCGCCCGGACCTCCTAACAGCTCTGATGAACATGTCTCTTGTGCTGCGCCTGCCACGGAAAATGCATCTTTGCAGATCCTCTTCAAATGTCCCACGCCTGCCATCGTTTTTGGAAATGCTACAAAACCCTGACGTTTTGCTCACTTTTGACAAGGTCCACAATCCCTTGCGCCTGCCACGCGAAACGACGTCTGAACGTCCAAAAGTGGCGCGAACATGTGGTGTCTTGTACATTTTTGACTTCAAAATGTGCTTCGCGCCACAACGGCGTGCACATTTTCGACATCTCAACTCCCAAAAGTGGTCCGTACATGGTGTGTTTTGTGCATTTTGACTTCGAAATGTGCTTTCGACATCTCAACTTCCAAAAGTGGTCCGAACCTGGTGTGTTTTGTACATTTTGACTTCGAAATGTGCTTCGCGCCAGTGATTGAAGTGCGTTTGTTTGACATATAGATATGATGTATATAGTCGAAGGGAGTTTCGATTTCAAACTTCCGACAATATGGACAGATGAAAAGCAGAGATGGGAAGAGTCAGAGAGAAGAGAAGAGTACAAGAGAGAAGATCAGAGAAGAGAACGAGTCAGAAGAAAGAAGACGCAGATGCGCGAAAAGGTAGGAAAGTCGCGAAGCACTGTGTTTTTCCAATGATTTGTGGCTCTGGAGGGTCGAAAAGTAGGCTCGCTAAAGCGGCGGGTGCGGAGCCATCTGGCCAAATGAGAGATGAAAAAGTGCACGCCGTTGGTACTCCACCTGTCATACTCAGTACCTTATTCAATATTACCTTTCAATGTTGCTTAGTGACCCTGAATATGCAGCAAATATGTCAACCGACATGCGCAGGATTTCTTCGGAAGACGGTTCTACTGGCAACTGGAAGGTTGTACCCCCAGCACCCCGAACTGTTTGCGAATCATCCTTACTTGTGTCTGCTGGGGCTGAAGAGTGCCAAGTAAAATGTATGCGCTTTATGACAAACATCAGCCTAGCATTTGCCGTCCTGCTCCAAGCATCATTATCAATATGGAATTCTCATCTATCCGTCTCAAACATATTGTTTAATTTATTGTTTCTACTCATCAATTACCCTCTGTGCATCAACAGTCTGTGCCATACCCGCGTCCTGAAAGCCCTGGATGTCATTCTCTCGACAGGGCCTGCCATGAAGATCTGTGAAGGTTGCACAGTTTGATTTGAGAGGTGAAATGTCAAAAGCTCTTCTCAATTGTTGGAAGCTTCCACATCATTCCAAATCAATATCCGCTTCCACACAAACTGAATTCCTGTTTTATCCGAGGGGTTATTCTGGAAGAGTCCTTTGATTGGGCCACCATCGACGGAATCGACGTTCAGGACAAGAACGCCGCCTCTCCACAGGGCTGCCGCTGGTCGTTGTGTCGCCTGACCGTGTCTTTTGAATTCTTTTGGTTGATTCCCCCACCGTGTCGTGGCCATCAAAAAACACACTGCAACAAGGACTGCAAGTGGGCTTGGTGGTTGGTTCTTGCGGTGATATGGTGATACTGTAATTTCTAAATTCTGATCAATTACGTACCTAATTGGTGCTTGAGAGGCAAAAGGCTTAGATTCGTTACATTCACTCTCCTTTCTCAATTGAGGAGCTGACAATATTCACTTTGGCTGCACCAGTTTCTGACCCTCTGGCCTTCAGAACCAATGAGCAAATGGTAGGCATTGGACTGCTCAGCAACCTACCATGGGCAGCGGTGAGGGCGTCAATCCATGACGATCATACAATAGGCAAGCAACCGGAGATCTGCCTTGACAATGGGCACACAACAGCACAAAAACACCAAACATCTTCAAACATGTCATCAGATCGAACTAGCAAAGTACCTTGATCTTGAACAAGTTGCATCAGCTATCATCAGCTCCCCTCTTTGTTCTATATCCGTTTTAGTCTGCCTGAAGGCTTGCTCAGCAGATTGCTACGGACAGGAACGACTAGACCCGCACCAAACTTAGCCCATTGAGTGGCTGTGGGTAGTTCGGCATTGCCCCTTGCAAGTATTGCCACCACAATATAGGCAGCTTGGTCCTTCAGCAAACAGTTTGCAGTGTAGCATCCGGTGCGGAGGCGAAGCAATAAGTATTATTTCCTTTCGGATCTGGTGGATCTGGCGTTCGAGGCTTCTTTTCGGCATGCAAAATCTGTGAGAAAAGCACAAGAGGCACAAACACGCAACTGAAGCAGAAGAGCATCAAAAATCATCGGAAGAGCTGGGGGATGGGAACGTACGGCAATGTGAGAAGTGAGAGAAGCTGGGATATCAAGGCATATTGCAGTATTTTATTGAGATGAATTCTATGAAACTTCTATGGGTCTATGGGATTCTTTTGTTGGATCTGCTTCCCATCCACTCCGGACTGAGATCATTGCCACTACAGTCAAACGACAAACTCATGCCTAACTCATGCCTGGGTCAAAACTTGCTAGTAAATCACCATGGAATCGCTGTTTCAAGAAACTCATGCCTAAGTCATGCCCAAATCTTGAAACACCATGGAATCGCGTATGGTTACTCTTGATGCTAAACACAACCTAAACGCAAGATTTATTATCAATATGGAAAAGGTACTCTTGATGCTAAACACAACCTAAACGCAAGATTTATTAACAATATGGAAAAGGTACCCTTGATGCTAAACACAACCTAAACGCAAGATTTATTAACAATATGGAAAAGGTACCCTTGATGCTAAACACAACCTAAACGCAAGATTTATTATCAATATGGAAAAGGTACTCTTGATGCTAAACACAACCTAAACGCAAGATTTATTAACAATATGGAAAAGGTACCCTTGATGCTAAACACAACCTAAACGCAAGATTTATTAACAAAAACTATTCCAAAGACCAAATCCAACAAAACATTGCAATTCCTATGCGTTTTACTAAAAAGGCACGACTTTTCAAATCAAGTGCTCCCCAGCTATTTACGATGATTTCCAAATTTTAGGCACGACTTTAGCATTCCACTGTATCTCCCCAGTGCGCCTCTGGGTGCGAGCTGGCCGACAAGGCCTCCTTTGTATGCTCAAAGGCATCGGTGATGGACCTCACTTGATGCGAATTTCGACACTTGTTTGAAACATAGTATGTACATATCGATTTGCGTGTATATTACATACACATATCATTTTACATCATGCATTGTCACATTTATGTTAATTCCCGTATTGTCACATTTATGTTAATTCCCGCAACTACGTCGTAACTAGGTAATTTTAGGGTTATTCACCAGCATTCCGTAGGCTGGACACCCTGGACATCTTCCCGGGGCTACCTCTTGCAAGGTAGCCCTCTGCATCCCTGAGCTGGGAGCTCATCTGAGAGAAAATCTCATCGAGTATTAGGTCAGAGTATGGTATCCAATGGTACCAGTATGACAATATGAGTATGTCAACGGCATCAAGTTAGATCAGCTCGGTGCATCCAAGTTGCTTACCAACGAAGAGAGCCCCATAGAAACGTTCGGTAAAGGCCCGCGCAGTGGCGTCCAGCACAGGCCTCTGGGGTTTTTCAGCTGACCTGATTTGACTGAACTTGTGTAGTGTCACATCATGTCGCATCCAGTGATGCTAGAAGAATCTAGAAGATACAGTAGCAGAGAGTTCCCTCAAAAGTAGCGCGCTGTTTTGTGAGACGGTCAAGTTTTGGCCACCCAAAGACATCTTATGAGAACTTGATACTCCTGGCAAGTCAGAAATAGGAGTTTGATTTACAAGCGAAATGAAGTGAGATACAGTATGTTCCTGAGCTCTGAAACGAAGCTGAGGGACAAAGGGTGTGACATTGTGTTCAGCAGATTATATTCATGAATTATTCTATTAAGGCTATGAATAGGCTATAAAGGCTATTGATATATTTACAGTATGTTTTGCTCCGCACAGGCCCTAAGTGCCAGGATGTGCCAGGTGGTTGCAGGACCGAACACCAAAGTAGACAACAATGATGGAGATCAGGAATAAATCATACGAACACTGTTGCTTGATAATGGTGCAGAAAAACCCTGATGCACAATGATGCACAAGCAAATATATGATTCAGTTGGATTCAATATGATTCAATACATTCGATGGGTGCAAATCTGCAGCAGTATCCAGAATATGTTGTCATCATTTTTTGTGCCACCGCCCATCTTGTCTGCCCATCGGTGCCTACTCGTGGCAATAACGTGCTGGCAGCCACTGTCGATAAACACCTGGTTGACCATGAACGTGGCTCAAAAATGCTCAAAATCACAAAATAGTCAGTGGACTTTCATACATGTGAGCATGGGACATGTTCCACAATGTGGCATCTTCAACTTCTCGAGTTGTTGGGCGCTACCATGTTTCCCGGCTACCGTGGTCCTATCGTCCTTCTGTGCAAGAACCCGCATCACAGGAAGGAATGCATCAGATGTGGGGCAACAGTTTGGGAATGCAAATGCAGCAGGTAATCATGTGTGTCTGTTTGGATCTGTTTGGTGACTGGTGGGCATTTCCTTCTCCAACCTTCAACCACTGACCATCATTGACCGTCAATATTGCCCCATATTGCCTCCCACAACGCGCCTGGGCCAGCTGCTTTGAGCTGCAGGAACTGAGCATCAGGAGCGACACACCGCGCAAACCACGACCATCGCCATCACCCTTGGAGTGGAGGATCTTCATCAACTTCTCCTGGGTCTGACCCGGTCTCGCACACATTTGGGAACCAATTTATAGGTGCTTTTAATATCTCTTAATCTGCAGTACGATGACTCTACCGGCAGGCCAGATATCAATCAACTTCGAGAAACATGACCTGAATTCACAACTCATGGTTTGCAATCAAACTCCCAGAACTGCTTGTCAGGATCCACCCACGAAGTTTTGCAAATCATCCCTGCAGTCGCTGTTAATCCATGAAATTTGATTTTCTCATATTTTCTCAACTTTCACATGGATGGGAAGTCTTAACAAGTCGTGCCCTGTCAAAATGCATACCCGATTGCATTTATGGTGTCGCAACATGGAAATTTACCAACCGGCCAAGCTTCATGGGTGCACGGATGTGCCTCACCAGTGCCCTTGGTGCTTTCCAATATAAGCCCGCCGGCCTTGCAGCTTTTGATCAGCAACTAGCCGGTGCCCAGGTTGCATTTTGGATTGCGATTGAAACATATTAAACCATATTGAACCGAGGGAAGAACTGATCCTAGAACTTGAATGAATTTGAGCCATTCTTGTTCCACCCATTGGCAAGTGGAAGCCCACTTCCTTTGACTAATATCATCGAATATCATCTACATTCATCTACAAACAGCATCAAATGGTGGGCTTATAAACATTTTTCAGGATGTCATGGAGACAGTGAACATCACAACATGTTCGGAACATCAGCCACCCAGTCCTCATCACCATGCGCTGCCAGATGTAGAATCAAACCATGTCCACCACGCCGGCGCCAGGCATGTGATAAGGTGAGCAACTTCGTCAGGGAGGCGGAGGAGGCAGCACCAACTTGCAGGCGCACCTGGCCATGGCCACAGGATACCACAGGATACCACAGGATACCACAGGATACCACAGGATGCCGCAAGGAGACAAGGACAAATGGTCACTTTCACAGTGAAAATAGTGAAATCGGTCTGTGATGTCATGTGATGTCTATATGCTGTGACATGCTCCACTCCACCCCCTTGGCTGCCTGTCCAGTCTGCAGTCGACCAGACTCCCGCGCGCTGCAAACTATTCGGTCGATCTCTGATTCGAAATCAATTGGAGTGCAGTTTGCAATGGGCCTTGCAAAAAACAAATGTGACTTTGTCCGCAAGAAAACACCTTCGAACACCTTCAGGTTCCTGTGCTCCTGTACTACTCTTCTTGTCACTTGATCATGTCCGTGTGCGAAGGGACCTACTGTATATACTTTCTTTTGCAGCTGAGTGACGAAGCATAGAGCACAAACACTTCGTGTTCTACAGGGGCTGCGGCCTTGCAACAAAATGCAACAAAGATCTCAATCCCTGTGTTTGATCCGCCTCGATGGGCCCTTTCTAGAAGGACTAGCCAAGTGAATGATGTCTCTGCATGCGGCCCGTTGAAACATGTTGAAACACGTTGAACCACCATTTTTCCCTTCCGACTTGCAACCAAAATTAGGCGCGATGCAGGCTGCCAAGAAGGACCGCCGATGAAAGCCAGTATTTCAATGTTGGAACGTTGGTTTGCATTCCAAATCTTCACCAAGGGTCAAGTGCGGCAGTCGGACTCTAAACCTATTTACCAGCTAGTCACAGAACGAAGGTTCCGAAGAGTCCAGGTAGCCACTCAGCTGAGTGGGCACAGCTTTTGTTTTCAAGTCAAGACTTTCATTCTGGAAAGAACCATCAGCCCTGATCCAGAAGATTCATCATGACTTCATGCAATCCTACAGCTAAGTTAGGCTAAGTTGCAAAGTTACCGCTCCGGCCAACCATGAAGGTCCGCAGCGAGTGATCAGCATAATCATCTGTCCACATGATTGGACTTCTCACACACCTCAGGTCCATTGTTTCATGGACTGTCCCAAGGTCCTACCAAGGTTATATATATATAATTACATATATATATAATTACATATATATATATAATTACATATATATATATATAGTTATAAAATTACATATGTATATATATATATATATTATGGGAGGTTCTTGCTATTCAGGGTTTTGTTTTATCTAGGGTTTTGAATCCACAACAACTGGTGAAGCAGGGCTAGCAGAAAAAAAATGCGCTGGCTTTGCCAGTGTGTTGCTGGTTCCAGCTTAAGTCAAAAATGGAAAAAGTGAGGCAAGTATTTTTGCTAACCGCAGTACTGCAGCATCAACCCAGAAGTTTTGAAGTTGCTTTTTCCCATCCTTGTTTTGTGCGAAATCCCATTTTCCCATTTTGTCAGATTGTTTTTCTTCCCGGATCCTATCGTCCCAGATCTGTTTTTTCACCGGATCCTATCCTCAGATTGATTTTGTGCTGGGTCCTATCCTCCCAGATCTGTTTTGAGTTTGTGCCGGATGTTGTCCCCATCCTGCACAAATCTTTTCCGAAAGAGGGTTCAGCCTGTCCCAGCACAAAATCTATTCCACCGTGGCTAACCCTTTTTGTGCCGGATGCTGATAACATTAAGCACAAATTCTTGCGTATGTCGAAGACCTGCGTTTTTCAAGCATTTTGGGCAGGAGTGGAATTTGAAAGTAACTGCAAATTTGACGGGTTTTCTGCCCAATGTCAACCTCGTTAAGCACAAAAACGAGCTGCTTGGGTCGTAATGAATTTGTGCCCAGGAATCCTTGCACAAGATACTGAACTTTCTTGTGTTTTGAATTCACCCTTCACCCCTTTTTGCAGTTAGCTGCTAGCTGTGATGTGGTAGGAGGTGATACTTGCTGATAGGATTTTGCCAACCTATGAAACGATGCACAATGAAATGAGCACCACATCAGCAAAAGCAAGCAACCACAAGACAATCAGACCTAGTGCTGGCACATAGTCATAAACCATGTTATGCGCGCTTCTCCTCCCACCAGGGGATAGTTGATATGTGAGCAAAATCAAGATATTGATACCGTTTAACTGGCAAACTTCTGCGGCAAAGCCTCGAACTTTTGAGTGCTAAACAAATTAACTTATACCTGAGAAGGGGGGGACGAAAGCCAGCCCCCAAAGCAATGCTCATGGTTTTTTTTGTCTCTGCGCTGAAGTATCTCGAAGTAAAGGCGGTTGCTACAGTAGTTGTTAGCATTCCACGATACTTTCGTCCAGATCAGCTCCAGCTCGGCCGTTTTAGGCCAAATCCTGGCCAAGAGCCTTTTGGAGCCAGATCCAGAGCAGAAACCTGTTGGAAGCAATTTTCTGCCATTTGGCGGCCATTCGGCCGGCTATTACATTTCGCTTTTGGGAAGAACGGGAAACGGCTACATATACAATTTTAGAACGAACAGCAAGCAAACAGAAGCTATGAACCAGCATTGTGAAGCTAAAAACACATAGACCCTTTTACACACAGACCCTTGCAGACTACACACAAACGCTTTTACACACAGACACTTTCTTACTTCGACACACAGATGCTTTTACACACAGACCCCTTTACAATAGCTTTACACAGAAACACGTTGACACAGAGACGCTTTTACAGACAAACAGCTTCACACAGACACACACAGACGCTTTCACACACAGACCCGTGTACGCAGGGACAGCTTTACACACAGACGCTTTTACACATAGACCCTTTGACACACAGACCCTTGCACACACAGACGCCGTGAGACATAGACGCTTTTTTCGCACAGACACTTTTTGACACATAAACATCTTGACACAGAAATGCTTTTACACAGAGACCTTTTTACACACAGACACTTTTACACAGAAACCTTTTTACACACCGACCCTTTTACGCATACACAAAATGTTGCACACAGACCCTTTTACACACAGGCGCTTTTACACACAAACACTTACGCTTTTACACACAAAGGCTTTTACATACAGACCTTTTTACACACAAACATCCTTACACCGAAAGGCTTTTACACAGAGTCGTAGTAGCACACAGACTGTTGGACACACAAACATCTTGACACAGAAATGCTTTTACACGCAGACCTTTTTACACACAGACACTTTTAAACACGAACCTTTTTACACACCGACCCTTTTACGCATACACAGAATGTTGCAAACAGACCCTTTTACACACAGACGCTTTTACACACAAACACTTTTACATACATACGCTTTGACACACAGAGGCTTTTACACACAGAAGCTTTTACACAGAGACCCTTTTACACACAGAAGCTTGTACACACAGACCCTTGTACACACAGATATATCTACAGAGAAACGCTTTTACACAGAGACGCTTTTACATAGAAACATCTTCACACAGAGACGTTGCGGCATGTGTTTTTTTTTACCTTCATTTGTAAAGCCGAAAAATGGTCAAATAGTTGGTGTTTTCGTGTTTTTTGAACAGTCTCGGAGCAAAAAACTCCGAAAAAAAAAACGTGTTTTCTGACGCCTCGCAAGCCCGGAGCCTTTTGGAGCCAGCTTGTGGGACTTTCGCGGCTTGCGGGCCGGCAACTAAAAGGGCCTTCTGGGATCAAGGGGAAACGGCCATTTTTAGCCAAATCCTGGCCGAAGCCTTTTGGAGCCAGCTTTTAAGACTTTCGCGGCTTGCGGGCCGGCAACGAAAAGTGCCTTCTGGGCTCAAGGGGAAACGGCCGTTTTAGGCCAAATCCTGGCCAGGAGCCTTTTGGAGCCAGATCCAGAGCAGAAACCTGTTGGAAGCAATTTTCTGCCATTTGGCGGCCATTCGGCCGGCTATTGCATTTCGCTTTTGGGAAGAACGGGAAACGGCTACATATACAATTTTAGAACGAACAGCAAGCAAACGGAAGCTATGACCCAGCATTGTGAAGCTAAAAACACATAGACCCTTTTACACACAGACCCTTGCAGACTACACAGAAACGTTTTTACACACACAAACGCTTTTACACACAGACACTTTTTTACTTCGACACACAGATGCTTTTACACACAGACCCTTTTACAAGAGCTTTACACAGAAACACGTTGACACAGAGACGCTTTTACAGACAAACAGCTTCACACAGACACGCTTGTACACACAGACGCTTTTACACACAGACCCGTGTACGCAGGGACAGCTTTACACACAGACGCTTTTGACACACAAACATCTTGACACAGAAATGCTTTTACACAGAGACCTTTTTACACACAGACACTTTTAAACAGAAACCTTTCTACACACCGACCCTTTTACGCATACACAGAATGTTGCACACAGACCCTTTTACACACAGACGCTTTTACACACAAACACTTTTACACACATACGCTTTCACACAAAGGCTTTTACATACAGACCTTTTTACACACAAACATCTTTACACGGAAAGGCTTTTACACAGAGTCGTAGTAGCACACAGACTGTTGGACACACAAACATCTTGACACAGAAATGCTTTTACACGCAGACCTTTTTACACACAGACACTTTTAAACACGAACCTTTTTACACACCGACCCTTTTACGCATACACAGAATGTTGCAAACAGACCCTTTTACACACAGACGCTTTTACACACAAACACTTTTACATACATACGCTTTGACACACAGAGGCTTTTACACACAGAAGCTTTTACACAGAGACCCTTTTACACACAGAAGCTTGTACACACAGACCCTTGTACACACAGATATATCTACAGAGAAACGCTTTTACACAGAGACGCTTTTACATAGAAACATCTTCACACAGAGACGTTGCGGCATGTTTTTTTTTTACCTTCATTTGTAAAGCCGAAAAATGGTCAAATAGTTGGTGTTTTCGTGTTTTTTGAACAGTCTCGGAGCAAAAAACTCCGTTAAAAAAAAAAAAAAAAAACGTGTTTTTTGACGCCTCGCAAGCCCAAAACCACGGTAGTTGCGGTGTTTTTTTGCTCCTGGAACCAAAAACCACGGTGTTTACAGTGTTTTATGGCCAACACCTAGCAAAAACAGTGGTATTTACGCAGTTTTCAGCATGTTGCAAGACGTACTTTTGCCAGGCCAAACGCACAAAAACACCGTAAATTACAGTGTTTCGGCATTTGAAACCCGATGAAAACCGTCAAGAACCACCAACAAGGTAAAGCCGAAAAATGGTCAAATAGGTGGTGTTTTCGTGTTTTTTGAACATTCTCGGAGCAAAAAACTCCGTAAAACCGTGTTTTTTTGACGCCTCGCAAACCCAAAACCACGGTATTTGCGGTGTTTTTTGCTCCTGGAACCAAAAACCACGGTATTTACAGTGCTTTATGGCCAGAACGTAGCAAAAACAGTGGTATTTACGCAGTTTTCAGCATGTTGCAAGACGTACTTTTGCCAGGCCAAACGCACAAAAACACCGTAAATTACAGTGTTTTGGCGTTTGAAACCCGATGAAAACCGTCGAAAGCCACCAACAAGTGTCCAAAATGGAGCATCTCGTTCGGGCCCAAAAAGCAAAAACAGTGGTATTTACGCAGTTTTCAGCATGTTGCAAGACGTACTTTTGCCAGGCCAAACGCACAAAAACACCGTAAATTACAGTGTTTCGGCATTTGAAACCCGATGAAAACCGTCAAGAACCACCAACAAGGTAAAGCCGAAAAATGGTCAAATAGGTGGTGTTTTCGTGTTTTTTGAACATTCTCGGAGCAAAAAACTCCGTAAAAACCGTGTTTTTTTGACGCCTCGCAAGCCCAAAACCACGGTATTTGCGGTGTTTTTTGCTCCTGGAACCAAAAACCACGGTATTTACAGTGTTTTATGGCCAGAACCTAGCAAAAACAGTGGTATTTACGCAGTTTTCAGCATGTTGCAAGACGTACTTTTGCCAGGCCAAACGCACAAAAACACCGTAAATTACAGTGTTTTGGCGTTTGAAACCCGATGAAAACCGTCGAAAACCACCAACAAGTGTCCAAAATGGAGCATCTCGTTCGGGCCCAAAAAACCAGGCAAACGGCAGGTCGGTTTTTGAGCTCTCCCCCCCCAGGCTCCGGCCTCACCTTTCAAAAACGGACCGATTTCGGGCCTCCCCCCCCCACACCCCCTAGATTAGCTTCGCTTCGCTTCTACCTATACTCAAGCCCAGGCCTTCGGCTGGCTTTCGTGATTATATAATACATCTTTGAAGCATACTATATGTGGGCCCGCACATCATGTATATAGAGAGTATATTCACATCATGTGCTTTATGTTTCTAACTTAATGTATTGTATAGTTTTTATACATCAATACATTTTAAAATATATTCATTGAAAAATGTAAAATGAAGTTGTAGTGTAGCAAGTCAGTACAAACCGCGCTGCGAATGATTGTTCTTGTTTCATCACGCACGTCATTGTTGGCATTAAATCAAAACCCTAGATGCACAACAAACCCCTGACTACAAGGAACCTTACAATTATATACAGTATATAGAGGGAAAAACATCGAAGTCGTTGGCCATGAGGCCATGGATTTCAAACAAATTTCAAACAAGATACTGATGGGGACTCCAATTGCAATGAGCAGAATGAGCAGAATGGGGACTCCTTTGTGTCCCGGGCTGATTCAAAGGAGTGCCGCAATGACGGGCTGGCGTCCCACATTGATGGGCAGGTGAAGGATACCTGCCGGCTGGCAAGTGTCGCTAAGCCACTAAACATACATGGGCCATCATGGCCCAATCTTCCTGGCCGTTGATTGGCCATTGGACACTCTTGGGCTCAATGTCCATGGAACATGTAATGCGATTGGCACCTGATGGCTTTGCATGGAGTATAGAATAGTATAGATTCGATTAGATCTCCATCCATACTGAAACCATGCACAATCTTTCAGGTTTTGCCCACATGAGGCGCGATATGGATGGATCATTTCCTTGAGAAAAAACAGGATCCATAAAGACCTGAGGAAAATTTCCGTGTTCAGTTCCCATGCAGCCGAGATGTTGGATCGATTTGAAGGATCCTTCTCTATTGATGCCCAGCGCTCTTGCCAAGCTACATGCTCATGTAGCAAGAGTTTGGACTTATGGTGGAAGATTCAGAGTTTGCCCGGTCAAGACCTCGACAGTATGGAGGTGCGGCATGTTGAAGTTTGCATTGCTGTGATCATGATGAAGCGGCTTCCCCGACTTGTGAACTAGAGTGACAACATGTGACAACACAGGGTATACATATACATATATATATATATAAATCTACCATCATATACCAGGGATGGGTGGGAGGTGCCTTTTGTTCTGACTCCAATTGTCATGTGCTGCCCCATCAGAGGATTTTGGTGGCAAAACTGATCAAACCTGTCTTCAAGGCGGTCCTCAAGAACTTTAAGAACATGATAGAACACGCCGAAGCCGTCGCTCGAGACACACGCATACAGCACATTGGTAGTGACATGTAGTGACATGTAGTGACATCCACCATTTGAAAACCGATTTGAAAACCGATTTGAAAACCGATGGAATCTTCTGAGATCTGCTGAGTTCTGCTGAGGTACTAAGTGCTCCTCTGGTGGCAGGTGTCCATGGTCCCGAGTGTGGAGTCCCACTGCGGCTGATGGGTGGCAAAGACAAAGGCGTGGAGGTTGAGGGAGTCGAGAGATCGACGCGAGTCCTCAGGCTGTGACGACATGTGCGCCGGAACAAACAAACAGCAACTGGAATCTGGACATATCTAGACAACCAAACAACGATGAACAACAGATATACGGTAAAAATCGGTAAAAGATGATACAGGGCATGAATGGGCATGATCACACTTATTTACATTCAAGTCATTTTGGTCTTTGCATCATACTTTGTGCCTGCACTGCGATAACCGGGGCATTTGATGCATTTACCGTGGCCGAGGATCGCAGACTGGGAACGAGCCCGTTGAACGGAGCATCTGCTGCTACTTCGCAACTCAGTGAAACTGGGCCTCCATGACGGCAGGATTGACTGGTACGTGTTGGATCAGGACTACTTCCAGTTGCTGGTACACTAACAGTTGGTGATCAATGATATCAATGGGAAACTCTTGTCAATATGAACATCATGAACAAAAATGCTACACAAATATGAACAGTAGTCTTGGACCAAAGCAGGTCTTCCTTGACCGTGGTCCATGGCGATTGGATGATGGTGGCCATTCCCATACAAACCCTATAAAACCCTGGCAAACTAAGTTCTGCGTCAAACTAAGTTCTGCGTCAAACTAAATGCTAGATCGATGAGGAAGGACTGGTAAGTGTGATACTGGCAGCTGCTGCCAGCTTCAATTCTGGTACCACACCCTGTTGAGCACTGGGAGCAGGACCCAATGGGTGGCAACCATCCATGTGGTCTCGCCTGCTCAGCTTGCGATGCTGTGGCACTGATCCAAGCTCAAACAAACCCAGCTCATACTATCATAGCTGTCATCACACATGAAAGTCTTGTTCATACCTCTGAAAAGGAAGCAATAGCCCCAATTTGGGGATTCGAGCTCAAGGTGAGACTATTTGAGGGCATGTCATTGACCTTCTTTGTCCAGCCTGTCGGCCCACATAGCTTACAGAACTGATAATCTCAACAATGTGGATGGATTATCTCTTTATTGGGAAACAGCTGCTGTGAGCTAGAATATATGGACATTGAACATTCCAAGACTTTGCGACTCCTTTCCAATTCAACAAGGATTACACATAATTAATTCCTTTCCTTCCCTCAAACACCAATACCCCGTTTGAAACATTTTGAAACCATGAAACTGCGATTTAGTATGGGATCCGTTCATAGGAGGGAATTTCATATCAAGGGCCAGTGATTCCGTAGATGTTGTCAACAAATCAAACAAATGGATCTACCCCAAGCAAAACGTTGAGGAAAAGAAACAACTCAACTGACCCAGCCCTGCGGGCCCCAGCCTCGCCATCTTCTGCCCGGCTGCGTAAGGCCTTCCACAGACTTGCCATATCCGCCTTCTTCAGCGGAGGTCACCCGGTGTATCCCGGTGTCAGGTCGATGTTTTGCTGCGAGCCCGCAGGATCCCGTAGGAATCGTACGACAGGAGGCCGTTTCAAGACGACTTGGTGAAAGTTCCAAATGAATCCAAATGATCCAAACCCATTTTGCATCATTTTGCTGTTGTATTTCAATTTGCTGTGATCTGTGCAGCTACAGCTGCTACAGCTTAGATATCCCATTGATCCATGGATCTCTTGCCACGCCACAGTCCTGACTCGCCACGCACCGAGCCAAGGCTGGCGGTTCCAAATAGAGCTACCTTGGAAAATGATGAGTTCTTCTGGCACATCTGGTCACATGTTGTCTATGTTTATGTATATGTTATTCATTGTTATTCTATGTTTATATTTATGTTTATGCTACTGGGTATGTCACTTGAGGATTGGAAACGACAATTCCAACGAGGAAATTAATGATAATCCATCGAGTTTGCCAGTCTCTCAAGCTAGCATTTTGGAATCAAGCAATTTTCAATCTCATGCACTATGTCTCTACTCTCGGACAAGAAACTCCAACAATTGTAAGTCTACACTGTTCAAACAAGTGACCATTGGCATCTGGTGGGATTGCTCTCAAGATTATTAGCACCGAAGTATGAGCGCGCTGCAATTCAATCTTACACTCTACTCGAAGCATCTCCAAGCTATCTATTGATCCAATCACAACAGCAACAATCATGGTATAATTTCAACAACGCTGGCCACTTGTATTCGTGACAAAGAGACAAACGAAACAAGACGAAAACACTTAACTTGTATTAACTTGTATGTTCCTTCTGGATCCTTCTGGATCCTTCTGGCACGGCTGCTTATTCTGCCAAAATTTTGTGCTGTCCATCCCTCCATCGTTCGACATCAGCTGATGGCCCGATTTTCTTCATCCGCATCGCCGCGGTGACAGCTACTCATTGGAGGGCCTGGCGAATGCGCAGGCGTTTCATGACATTCAAGGCATTTGGGATAATGACAATACTGACAGGTGTATGTACATACAATGCATATTTAATGTACACATAAATAAAATTACAGTAGGCCATCTTAGGTCGTTGAAGCTTACTCCTAATATCCCTGACATCAAACTGCGCCGCCCCTCCATCACAGTCACTTTGCGGGGAACATCGCAGGACATCATACATCATCATACTATTGTACATCAAGAAAACACGTTGACCATCACAGTCATTGACACTTATGGAACGGAAAAAGGAGACATCAGGCAGCTGAGTGACATGTTGTGCATCGATTCAGCACAAAGGAAAATTGGAGCTTTCTTCGCTTCTCCTTTGTGATATTATCGATTCATCATGCTTTTTTGAAGCCAAGAGTGATGGACCATGGACCGTGCCTTGTGTAGCCGAGGCGACTTTCGTTGCAAGTCCGCCTGACAATGGGGTAACAAAATTCTCCGTCACTTGGAGGTGCCCGTGAGACCCCGTGAGGCCCTGGGTCCGCAGTCAAGGCACACGCAACGGGGTCATGGATTATTGGGGATCAGTGCGGAGAGAAAGCGTAAGACAACAACCTGAGTATAAGAAAATGTACTCAACTCAGACTCTTCAGAAAGCATCAGAATATATTATACAATATTATACAGTATATCAGAATCATAACGCAATATTCCCTATGAAGCACACTTTGCATCCATTTTTCCCTTTGTTATCAGTCAGGATCTTCCTGCCCTCTTGTTGAGGGAGCAAAGGCTATAGAAAAGAAACTTCATCAGTCTTTCAATATACTTTTATGCAGTGCCACTGACTGAGGCTGGCCAGGTATTCCTCTAAACTCATGACATCACAGAAACTAACGATGCACTGATGCAAATTTCGGGCAAAGATAATCCCAAAAAACAATAGCAACATGCATACAATTGTAGTGACTTGCATCATCTTGCATCCACCTACCTTGTTGTGACTACAATTGTGTGCGCTCTGACTGGTGCCTCGCTGCCAAAATTTGTTTTGTCCACTGCTGAGGCATCACCTCTCCTGCAAAAATGCCCGACATGGCCCTGTCCTACTATCCTGTGGCCCATTGAATTCAAGATGTGACATGCTTCAACATGCATGTTTTCACAACACAGCCAACTTTGCTCGTGTTGTGTTTTGATCATTTGAGGATTGGGTTCACACGCGACCAACTCTTGATGGAAACAGTCGAACATCCTTTGGGATTCTCCAAGGTTCCAACCAAGTCAAACCAACTGGTGGCAGTTGCCCACATCCAGCGTACCCTTTGGAACGTTCCCGGGAAAAAAAACGTATGTCCCCAGCCCTTCAGGGTTTCCGTTCCAGTTTCTGAGCTTCCCACCACGCCAACAAACCAGGGTCTACGGGAAGTTTGTAGAATCCCTGCATGGGAAAAGGCCAGGCCAGGACGACCGCAATAATACTTCATTGATATCACCAAGCTATGTTTCGGTGATGATTTTAGTTGGTTCTCGTCAGGATCGACACAGTACATCTTTCTTGAACACATGTGCACCATTCATAGCGTGGTGTTGATGTGGGGTAAAATACAAAATACAAACGTTGTGGAACACAGTGATGACGGTGATAATTCATTACATACATACAGATAAAAATTATATAATCCTCTCTCCTCTCTCCCTATTATTACTAAAACGCCCCACCCAAAATGGCAAACACGGTGATCCATTTTTCTTATTAGGGTGTATTTTGTATTAGGGTGCCCCTAATAATGAAAACCCTAATAATAAAAATTAAAAAACTCGAATTCAAATTTGATTATATAAATCCCTCATTAACATATATTCAAAATATTGCCAAAAACTAGATTTCGAAGCTTTCCCCTAATATTCCAATGAAAACCTTAATAATAAAAATAAAACAACTTGATTTCAAATTTGATTGAATCCCTTATTAAAATCTGTAAAAAATCTTGCCAAAAACTGGATTTCGAAGCTTTCCCCTAATATTCCAATGAAAACCTTAATAATAAAAATAAAACAACTTGATTTCAAATTTGATTGAATCCCTTATTAAAATCTGTATAAAATCTTGCCAAAAACTGGATTTCGAAGCTTTCCCCTAATATTCCAATGAACACTTTAATTAAAAAAATGAAAAAAAACTTGTGAGATGGGACCCTAATAAAAAACCTCCAGATGGCAATCTATTTTATTAATAGGGGGTTGAATCCATTGTTTCACCATCCTGTTCTCCTATTGATTCTCAATTTCAACAATTAAGAATCCAATTGTGCCCAACCAAAAAAAAATGGAAGTGCCACACCAATCCTTTTTTTATTTGGGGGAGTTTTAATAATGGGAAGAAGGCATATATATAATTATATATATATATAATAATAATACAAATATGAACTACGATGATGACGATGATGATGATGATGATGATGGCGATGCTGATGGCGACTGCTGGTGATTATGATGGTGATGGAGATGACTATTGATATCCCCGATGGATGGAACTCTTAGGGTCTACAGCCCCCATTCCAGCCAATATGCTGGCTGAAAGGGTAGGTACCAAGACTGAAAGCCATGGGCTGGAAACATGACCCTAACCCCAAAAATATAGCCAAAGTAGGAAAAGTACTGGTACATTCCCGTGGCTGAAAACTAGGGGATGTGAGGTTACCTTGCATCTTACAACTTACATGTTTCAAGTGGCTGAAATCATAGGCACCTGAGATGCAGGCCAACACACGCACATCCTGTTGAATCTTTCACATGCTGTTGAACCTCCCCGGAACACCAATTTTTTACGATGATAAAATCCTTGGGACTACGGTCAGTCTTATCTCAGTATTCCTGATCTCATCATCATCATTACATTAATTGATGGGTAAAATCCTTAGGACTACGGTAAGTCTTATCTCGGCAGTCTTGATCTCATCATCATCATTACATTAATTGATGGATAAAATCCTTGGGACTACGGTAAGTCTTTTCTCGGTATTTTTGATCTCAGCATCATCATTACATTAATTGATGGGTAAAATCCTTGGGACTACGGTAAGTCTTATCTCGGCATTCTTGATCTCATCATCATCATTACATTAATTGATGGATAAAATCGTTAGGACTACGGTCAGTCTTATCTCGGTATTCTTGATCTCATCATCATCATTACATTAATTGATGGATAAAATCCTTAGGACTACGGTAAGTCTTATCTCGGTATTCTTGATCTCATCATCATCATTTCATTAATTGATGACCACTGCAAAGTCTCAAACCCTAGGCCCTAGGATTTATTGCGCAATGGCTGGAAACTTGGGATTCACCTCTTGGTTGATGTGTCTGTTTTCCCCATGTTGTTGGATGAAAACTACGGATCTGAGGTCAGCATAGAAATATATGGAATCGAGTAGAGCTGTGGCTGAAAACTGTGGAGCCAAGGTAACATGAACACATGCTCAACTGCATCCTGAAACTCTATTTCTCAGAAATGATGCTATCTGGGGCTTGGCTGAAAACCATGGGTACAAGTGTCAGGTAACAGTTGCAGCTGGCTAAATTTTTGAGGTAGAGCTCCCCCCTTTTCAGCCAGGACCACCAGACGGGGATTATTGATGTTGTTAGGCAACACTGATTGGGATGATGACCAAGACTATGAGGATGAGAATGCAGGACAAGAACGAGGAGGCTGTCAATGATGAAGATGAGAGGGATGATGAGAGTTACGTATAGCTATGAGGCTATGATGTATACCAAAATAATAAAACCCCCAACAAGGAAACCATACAAGGCAACAAAAACCTAAAATTGCATGCAACATCCTCTTTGAACCTCTCACGATTGGTAGCAGCAAGGTGCATTACCAGGAGTTGAACGGCAACCATCCGCGACCATTTGCCCCACTCCGAAGTGATGAATCCCCTTCACGAAACAAGTCAATCCTTTGCGCTCCTCTGCCCTGAAAAGAAAACGTGCGAAAGAACGGAGAACTCTGGTGACCGACACTCACTACCTTTCGTGACTTCAGAGGATCGTTGCCTTTCCATGCCTTTCCCAAATCCGATCCTCCAGGAAGTCGACTTGGTAGTGGTTCAATGGATGCGCCTCTCCATCAGCACAGCTAGACATGGGGATGTCTGACCAGGCCACAAACGAGGTGCATCTGAAACTCAAAGAAGCGCACCACATCATTCAGTGAACATACAAACCGAGAGAACACACATGAAATGGTCCCGTCTCAAAATCACTCAAATGGTCCCGTCTGCATCCCCACTTGGAGCCGGGACATGAAAACTATGAATGTCATACCAACTGTAGTCGCAAATGTTGTCGGTTCCAACCTCAGCCAGAATCTAATTCTGCTCCAAATTTCACCCTAAAACAAGCACATGATCATTTGGGCATGGGGCAACAATTTAATGGTGATATATCTACAGTAGAAACTTTGGAAGGGGTTCGTGATGTCAGGTTTCATGTTCAGCTTAAAACAAGGTATATAGCACGGAAAACGCTGTGAACCAACCAATCACAACAATGAAATGTTATCAAACAAAACCACTAGCCACTCTCAATTAAGGGGATCAGCGAGAAATGCCTGTTGCAAATCCGGTAAGGTTCCTTTCGAGATTTAATCTGATTTTCGATCAGCGCTTGCATCGAACGGGCTATTCGTGTCAGAAAGGCCAATAACGTGTCAAACAGGTTAACAGGGTCAAGTCTGTCGATTGTCATTAGTGTCAATAGATGTCAATAGACATGTCAGTAGATATCGATAGATGTCAATAGTATCCAGCCAGGCAATATCGTCATCATCACCGTCGCCACCACCATCATCATCACCATCACCATCAGCACCGTCACTATTACATATCCCCCATGTATAAGCTGCTAGATGCTTTGGGGCCGACTTTATACAGAATATGGGGGTGTAAAAGTGGAAATCCAAAATGTTTTGGCTATAAAGTCACAAGCCAACGTTGTATAAAGTCGCCTAGCCACGTAAAAAAACATAAAAGTCGATGTGGGTTTTTGAGGGTAATTGTGAACGTTTCCCATTTCGATAAAGTGAGATGTCCAACATCCAAAACAATAATACTTGTGTCGAACAGTGGTACTATAATGTGGATTACCCACTAAACAGCGATGGTTGTAATATCAATGGTGTTCTTAATCACGTCGATGGAAACATCGACATGATTCTGTATAAAGTTGAGGGGCCACGTTCAAACTTTGCGGGAATATCATCAATCTCATTGACGGGAAACCAAAAAAAACATATAAACCGAACGAAACCGACAGCCAAACAAATATCATCAAATATCGATATCGACGTCGTTAACAACATCAGCTGTTTTTTTTTCACGGGTGTAACCCGATCAGGCCACTTTATAGAGGCATTCTCTGCTCGGGAGCCGGTATAAAGTGGTCCAACCAACATCGTTTGGGTTTTTTTCAGGGGCGTAACTCGGACAGGCCACTTTATAGAGGGGATTTTTTCAGGGGCTCTCTTTTTACCATTCTGAGGCTCTGGCTGCCACGCGACGAACCATCGCCGAGAGGTGGGTCGTCGTCGTGGAGACTCCGCCGCTTCGCTTCGCGGACTTCTGCCTGCAGTGGCGTGGTCAGATTCGAGATATGACGCGTGATTTGTGCTGAATTCGGCTGCTCCGTACTGTCTGCTTTGGCATTAACTTAAGACTTAATGTGTCAAAATGCTTCGTAGGTAATCAGGGTATGTTGTGCAAGCCTCTTCCTTTTGCTGTAGACGCTCGTACTCGGCCTGGCATTGATGGTTGGCTGCGTATACGCAAATCGTTTGGCGGCTGTTTGTGTGTCTGTGTCGAGGTCTGTTTTCGTCTCTCTCTCTCTCTCTCTTTCTCTCTCTCTCTCTCTCTCTCTCCCTCTCCTTACTTGTCTCTCTCTTTCCAGCGCTCTATTGCTAAGCCCGGCACAGCCAGTTCGGCGTCTACTTCCTCGTCCTCGGGATGTAGGAGGCGTTGCTATTTCTATCCATCGCGTGATGCTTCCGTGTCAGCAATCTGTCCACGTTTTTTGTTTTTAGGTGCTTTCCTTTTTCTCCGTCGGTCTGGTTGAAGTCGGTCTGACTGAGGAGAAGACCGTGGGTAGCCTCCGCGGCGGTGGGGCTGGCACCTGCCAGAACAAGACCAATCAGCCCGGAGGCAAGGAGTGACTGGGGGCCTCTGCCTCTGGGAAAGCGTGTTGGTCTTCTCCAGCTTTTTTACCCTTGTCCGCCTTAGTGATGCGTCAAGCTCTCGCCAAATTCTTCTTTTTTCGTGCTTCCTTTGCGTTCTTTCTTTTTTTCTTCCTTTCTTTTGTTTCTTTTCTTTTTTTCTTTCTTTCTTTCTTTCTTTCGTTCTTTCTTTCGTTCTTTCTTTCTTTCTTTCGTTCTTTCTTTCTTTCTTTCTTTCTTTTCTTTCTTTCTTTCTTTTCTTTCTTCTTTCTTTCTCTTTCTTTCCTTGCTTTCTTTCTTTTTCTCTTGGGGGCGCAGCTGAGCTCTGGGCTTTCCTTTTCCTGTCTTTCTCCAGGGCGGCCACGCGTGCGAGCCGGACCTGGCGTTTGCGTCGGCGACGCGCCGGGCGTCTCGGGCTCTCCCGATTTTCCCGCGCGCCTCAGGGTCCTGGCTTTGGCGTGCTTCTTGGCGCAACTCTCTGCGCCTCTTGTTGCGGGCTTTGTTCTTCTCAGCTTGGCTCTTTCGTTTCGCCTGCTGCGGCGCCGCGTCCGCTGGCTGGCTGCATTCGCGACAGGACAGCTTCTTAATTCTTCCGCCGGCCGAGCCTCTGCTTGTTTCTCCTCCTCCAACCGTTTTTTCTCAGCCCGTTTTTCTGCCTGCCGTGCCACCCGTGTTGCCTGCACGGCGGAGCGTTGACTGTCTGTTGTTTTTTCTTTTTGTGTGTTTCATCTAGTTTCATCGGCCTCGGCCGTTGGCGCATCCAGGGCCGGATGCACCGGCTTCAGGAGCAGCCAGGCGTGCAGCTCGGGGAGCCACGCTTGGACTGCATCCTTGAAGACACCCAGGGCTTGCGCCTCGGTTGGCGCAAGTCGGTGCGCGTCGCCCTTGCCGCTCTCTGATTTTGCGGTTAGCGGGCTGAGGCCCGCGCCAGTTGTGCTACCAGAGCTGCACCGTTCTCTGGTAGCAGAGGGTTTGGCGTCGATGGAACAAGCTGTTCCAAGTTCCAAAGCCCTGGCGAATGAACAGGGAGGCGATGTCCAAACAGGACGTATTTTGAATACTCTCATGTTTCCTCGGTCTCAGTCTCCCTGAGGATCCGGCAAACCAACTTTGCGTGCAGCGGCAGCCATGCAGCTAATCCGGCGGGGCGGTGCCGCCTTTGCCTGGCATGTGTGGCCAGGAGCACTGTGGGTCCGCGGGTGCGGTGCTGCTTCCGGCGGGCCCTCGTTTGAAATTTTGGCTTTAAAATTTTGCCCCCCTTGTTGAATTTTGGCTTCTGCAATCTGTGCCGGGACCACCGGTTGTGCTGGGCTGCAAGCTGCCTTTGGCCGCTTGTTCGCTGCCGCCGCCTGCAAATGTTTCTGTTGGTCTCAGGCAACTTTTCGTAAAAAGATTGTGTGTCGATGCCTCTTTGACGTGGTTCCGCGCGCGCCTCTCGCGCGTGACCGCGTTGCCCCGCGCCTGTCAAGGAAGGACTGGGCTTGCGGAAATTCAGGGACAACGCCAATATGATACGTTCGGACTTCTTCTGCCGTCACTCTGTCGATCCAACATTACTGAGGGCGGTGCAGGGCCCACAGGACGGAGCGTGCCTGATAGTGACAGAAACAGCCACGACGCGACGAGAGGTTGACCAAGGCCGGTGAGAAGATGTGATCTGCCCTGTTTCATTTTACACCTACTGAGAAGACAGGCCAAGGACCATTCGTTTCGTTTCGTTTCGTGTGTCTTCAAGGGCTCGGGCGGCTTGGCGCGGGTGGGGTCGTCGCGCTGGTCCCTGGCGCAGGGGCAATGAAATGAGAGTGGTTACTTGTGGCCCACTGGCGGTTTCCTTTCACGTTTGCTGTGTTGTCTCGTTTTTTGTTGGTTTGAGACGACTGTTCTGGATTCGTTTCTGTCGTGTCTGAGCTTGCTGCCGTTGGACGCAGGAGCGGGGGCGCCTGTCGATTTTACGGACTGTTTTCATGCTTATATGCGGTTGCACATTGAGCAAGGAACTGTTTCAGATTCTTCCATGGCATCGGTTCTCCGTTGATCCGGCCTGTGCTCGGCACTGCTGGCGCGGGTGGCGTTGCGTTGCTCTTTGTAAAATTGTTTGCTAGAAGTTCAGCTCTATAAAGTGGCTTGGATGATGCATCTCATGACTTTATAAAATGCTCTGCAGCAACTTTCTTTCTATAAAATGCCATGGCTGCAGCAAAAGTTCCCTTCTTAAAGGGCAATCTTCCCTCTATAAAATGCTTTGCCATGTATAAAGCCCCAATAGAAAAATATTGGCTCGAAACCATTGGGGAGACATGTTTATATAAAGTGGATGGTGCGACGTGTTATGGCCATTCTTTGAAGGGACCAACGGTCTATAAAATGCATTGCCGCATATATTGAGTCATCTCCTTGTGGGAAACCGGCGGGGTATAAACTGGAAAGCCAACGTTGTATCAAGTCATCCTGCCAGGTCCAAGGGACTTCCAAGGGCATGTTTTTTGCGCAAAACACGGATTTATTCCCCATGTTCGGTGTATAAAGTGGCGATCGGAATCCCACTTTATAGACGTAAAGGATATCCACTTTATAGAGAAGCTATACATGGGCCTACATGGGGGATTATTGCATATCATCACCAGCATCATCATCGTAATCATCATCTTGATAATCTTCCCATTCACCAACGCCATCACCTTCACCATAACCACCATCATCACAAGCATCATCAGCATCGCCATCACAATCATTACCAGCTTCACCATCAAAGAAGCCTGCCTTCACATGTTTGCAAACATCTTTTTTCTGCGATGAAGCGAAAAGAGTGCATGAAAGGCCAAGCAAAGCTTCCACTTCCTCAGCGCCCAACCAAAATGTCATGATCTATATCGTAGAACGCGTGGCCGTGCTCTTTTCTTCGGAACCTGTCAGCAAGCTGGGCTAGTTTTGTGGCAGGTTCAAAAAAGGTTCAGTTCACCTGTTGGAAACTGTTACACACACAAATATTGGCATATTAGCATATTGATGTAAGAAACAAGCTGCTCGCAACCACAAGCTCCAGGATTCCAAATATCATAAAATGACTACGATGATTATATAAATTACAGCAGATTCATGAATCCAGCAGGAAACTGATGTACAAGTCCTGACCGCCCAATTGGACTCTCACCGCCACCGGGATATGAGACCCATTGAGACCCCAACTTTCCATTGATGACATGGTAGCAGCTGGGCCATACTCCATCCTGACAGCATTGAGTTTGCAAGAAAGTCCGATCAACATCTGGAGATTACAGCTGTGTTAAGGATAAAACACATCTTTTTTACAGTCAAATATGCTGTTCTTAATGTCCCCTTTCGCCAGATCCTTCTTGAGAAGGATGGACGTGTCCTCTTCGCCCAGATCGAAACCCGATATTCTAGATATACAACAAAAGCAACATGATCAACATGGGCCCAGGATCTGGCTGTCAGGCTGAAAGTGCAAGAGAAGAGGAATCCACTTTCCAGTTGTTATGATTTCTTTGCTTGCCTTGTTTTGTTGAATAAGAGTTCAACTCAGGCAAACCTCCGGCAGGCGTCTAAAATAGCCTAAGTCGGGCTGGATAATCTTGTGAAATTGATTGAACTTGGAGAGCCTCATGAGAAGGTCCGTTGAAGTGCAAGATGCCCGGAGTTGTGTTGGTCAAGGCATTCCGTGGTGGCCGCCTTAGCGAGTCGCCGTCATGGTGCAAGAATGTGCAAGATGTCGACCGATGTCGTCACTGTGGTTTCTGGTGAAACTTGCCGGGTCAATGGTGCGAGAAGGATGTTGATCCGTTTTGGATTGTTCTGGAGTGTATTGGATTATATTTTGGTTCCTTTTTTCCAACCGCTAGGGCATATCCACCAACTACCAGTACCATGGTTTCTTAGGCGCCCACCCGAAGCCGCCTGCGCCGCGGAACCTTGTACCGTCATTCACAGTGAAGTGCGCCATAGAATAGACAAACGACAAACAAAATAAGTAATCAGAACCCCATCAAACAGTAAAACAACGGCAACATGAACAAATCTTGAGACCGGCCTGTTGCTGCAATGTGATTCCTATCCAGTACCCAGTCCGAAACCTGATATGTTGAATCATCTCATGTGTCTTTGACTCTACTGTATGGATTTCCCATTTTTGCTTGCGATCAATTCAAGGACCCCTTGTGCCTTGTGAGGTGACTACCATGGGAACGCATTATGGTCTACCACAAATCGACCACATGACACCTGTCACCACCCGTAGAGTGGCCTGCAAGGGATTGAAATCACAAAACATTGGGAGGACATTCAATGGTATTCGCAATGACATGTTCGTGGATTTTCTGTTGCCACGGCCCTTGGCGGTCTTTCACCCTTATCCCCAAGACCAATGCCATGCCGAGGAGCCAGGTCTTGTCGCAGGGTTCGCGCTCGAGATCGCCGGCTTTGTATTCCAACATGTTGAGGAAGACCTGCGTTGCAGCGGTCGCTCAGCGGTCGTGCTTGAGCCGATGCTTGCAGGGATAGCTGATGGAGAAGTTTCCGCGGTGTGAAAAGCAGAGCTTCAATGATTTTTTTCCTCCATTGCAGTTTCTTCATTGGATTCATTGTACATAGCTTGCAAACTTTTGAACAAGTCCATCCTGACGCTATTCCAACACTGGGTGACCGAGATGGCACGTTGAAATGCCGGTGGCCTACGACAGGTGGATCATTGGATCTAATATGATCTAATTGACTCATGTCCGAATCAAGAAAAGTGCACGTTCACACTGGCATCAATTTTCCCCAACAGCAAAACTTGTCTATGGGGTCTTTAGCCCAGATTAGCTCCGGAGCAATCCGGTGCAGCTTCAAGACCAGGTTCCGGGGTTCCGGAGGGTTCTGGCTGGTGCAGATACCTTGTGAGGTTCCCGAGGGTTCCGGTGAAGATACCTGCTGAGGCTCCGGAGGGTTCTGTGCGGTTAGGGTTCCGGTGCAGATACCTTGTGAGGTTCCGGAGGGTTCCGGTGCATACCTCGTCGTGAGGTTCCGGAAGTTTCCAGTGCAGGTACTTGGTGAGGTTCCGGAGGGTTACGGTGCAGATACAGTACCTTGTGAGGTTCCGGAGGGTTCTGGTGCAAATGCTTTGTGAAATTCCAAAGGGTTCTGATGTTTTTTATGGCATAAACACTTAATTTTTATGGCATATAAGTAAGCACTTTTTATGGCAAAAACGCAGAAGCTTTCAAGCTGTTGGGGATAGCACCTGAGTTTATTCTACATGGGCTGCTAGCTAGATGGTCCACTTCAACTTTAGTCCAGCGTAGCTCAATAGTCTCCGATCCTCCCAATGTATCGACAACATGTCCCAAACAAATCAAACATCTGGATTCGCGTGTCTCCTCTCTTCTGTTTCGGTTTCAAGCTTGACCCAGAACCATGAGCATAAGATTCACAACATGTGCGCAGGTGAGGATCAACCAACCACCATCTTAGGGTTGCCCAGGCCTCTGCATGTTGGTCTATCTGGATATTCAACTCCTCAGCATAGCGGAAGATCACCAACCACATAGCACCTGCAAATCAGCTGCTAGTGATCCGAACAATGGGAAAACCATATGAAAACCAAAAAAAATCACGGCATTTTAAAAATTAATGCAACGCCTCCATTGAACCGAAGACAACTTGATAGAATTTGATGAAAGATGATGAAAGTACCAAGTGGGGTCTTGCCGCCGTTGATTTAAATTTATATCCTCCGGAATCGTTCTGAAGCAAAGGAACGGCAGCAAAATCAGCAAGTTAGTCTACAGTGCATTGAGTTTCATCCAATGAAAATGTTGAAAATAGACGGATCATGAAGACGGATCATGGATCCCAGCAGTCTCATTGCTTGCCTCAATTGCGGCCACTTGTAAAGTGCAAGACAACATGTCAAACAAAACTCGTCTACTTGTCTTGGGCTCTTGGAGTTCACTATCTTTCGTTATTCTGAGTGATCGATCTCGCTTGGCCCAAAGAGATACGCCTTGATCATTCATCTCCTCTTCAAGCACGATCTTGTTGTTCCTACGAAGTTGCAGTCAAGGGGTTGGGAATGAAATTGGGAATGGGTTGTTGCGTACGAATCTCAAATTCGACCCGACACATGCCTTGAACATCCTTGAACAGTATTGGTGTGACCTTTCAGAAATTACATTTGACATCATTACCATCATTTGACTCATTTGCTCCATCACCAGACTCACCAGACTCACCAGACTCACAAAGCATAAAGATCCGGAAGCGACCAGAACATCCTGCAGTTATTGGACAAGTCTCGTCCGCCAGCAACCACCTGTCCATTGGTCTGTCCTTTTCAGCACCTCTATGAAGCGCTTTGCTGGAGCCATGGACAAACCAATGTTGGGGTACCTCGGTTGGGAGTCAGACTGGGTCCCAAATGCACATTGCTGTGCCAGTCCAAGTGTACTCCACTGGTACCAGTAAATAAATCAACTCGATCCGCATATATAGACCACTATAGACCTTGCTCCTTGTGTCACAATCTGTCACATGCATGTCCCCTTGAGGAAGTAATTGTCTGGCCATGTCTTGCCCTGAATAGCGACCGACCATCTTTCAACCACACAGACTAAAGTGCTAGAATGTGCTCAACTTGCTCAATAACATCTCTAAAATGTCTATATAAAGGGGACCAAAAGGCAAACGTTTTAACCAAACCCCGCTACAAGAATGATTTTCTTTAACAAGTTTCTGCCAAAGTCTTTCAAATTCCACAGTTCATCACAATTCCACCCTTCCATAAGTGAACTCTTGAAAACGTGAACTCTCAATCTCTTGGTGCGACACGGGTATGGACCATCTCCTCGAATCATTCGACAGAAGTCCTCAGGCAGGAACCTTACTCCAAGGATGGCCAAGGTGTCCGAAGTCAAGGACGATCCGGGTTATATGATGTTATATATTTCTTTCATTTTCCGCCACTAGTATCATGGTCTCACACGTTTGAGCAAGCTTCCGTTTCGTTTTTTTAATGGTTCTGGATGTTGTTTGATCATGTTGAAACCATAAAGAAGAAAACTCCCTTCACAGGGCTCAGGACGAAACCTTAAGCAAGAAGAATCAATTCTTTAAGATTTCTTACGGTTGAGGATGGCTCCCAGATCCTAAACATTTCTTCTAACCTTAAAATCCCGAAACCATCCAAACCCTAAAATTAGAGATTCGGGGCCTGAAACCCTAAAGACCCCTCCACAGGTTCCATAGGGGTCAAGAGGTCAGAGCTCGCCTGAGACCACCTTGACACAATACGAGTAGATATCAAAAACATGACCATTTTGAACGTTTTGGGTAATTTTTTTTTGGGCCCCCCTCCTCCAGTGACTGCAGTTATTTCCCAGTTACTTTTTACAAACAAATCCCCCCTGCAAATTTACAGGATGTCACATACCCTTCTTTTACAGACCCCTAAGATGGTCCTGATCCAAAAGCCAAAAGCCAAGCCTCCAGACCCCCCCCAAAAAAACAAATTAAATTACCATCCTTATTGTAATGACCACAGTGTAGAGGGGAGAACTTCTTTCAGCTGCAGTCCACAACAACTTGTCACCATTGTCTTCGTCATCCTCATCCTACTTCCTAATGCATTTTATGCTTCTCACCTCACCTTCATTCTCCCGCTCCCCAAGCTGCTGAGTGCGCCTGATCCATCGGTTTATCGTCCATGACTGGTTCGCAAAAGGGATCTGATCAAATGGTGGCCGCCAATATGGCACCAAAGAAAGGATTGCTTTCAAGCTGGAAACCATTGACTGTACGAGAACCTTAACATATCTGCAAGATGCCGTGAGCACTAAAAGCGAAATTGGTCTCGATACTCTTCGATTCCACACATAATTGTGATTCCACATGACAGCCGAGAAGAATTGTTGCTTACTCCTGGCAATGTTCCAACCCCGCTTTCTGACACTGCTTGCCTATATCTTTCCTGGTTTCTACTTGACCCTGCCAACCAAACATCTCTGAAATGTCTAACATCCCTGGCTATACGTGCTGTACCAATGAGTCCAACGCTGACAGCTCAAAGTGTGACTCCCGGACCTTCGTCAAGATTTTTTATTTTGAACATTTTTGGACCATCCAGGCCTACAACATTTGTTTTCATCCCAAATCACCCCTCCAAAGATTCAGAACCTTGACCAGAGGGGTTTACACAGCACCCAGAGCTCCGCGCTCCTGGTCGTTCAAATCCCATGTCCCATGTGATGGATGGGTATGTGGCCTTGGCATTGCATGGAGGTTGCAGATTCTGAGCATGAAACCTATCAATGATCATCCTGTAGCAATTAGAAGTAAACAACCGCAAGAGCAATGAGCAATGATCGAGAACATGAAGTTGAGAAGCAATATATCTATCTACATATATTCAAGATGACTGCAGCACCATTCTTCTAATAGTGAGCATACTTTCAATGCAGCCCACTAGGATTTGCAATTGTAGATGAGTTTAGAACATGGCCGAATCTATTGAGATCAGGGATCGGCACCCCAAGCCACAAATGGTATTGAGAGTTCTGGCCAAGGCCAGCAATTGCGTTCCCCAGAGATAAGATAAGGCCTCGGTGTCTTGTGGTGGTGCAGAAAAAATTGTTTCGTGGCATTATATAATATAAATCATTATATATCCGTATTTATATCCGTGGTAGGTTTCGAAGACTTCTGTAACTCCATCTGGAAACAGGAGCCAAACTTCAAATGGCTCAATTTGTTTGACAATTCTATGATCCAATGCATTCAAATGCTTATTTTGTCATTTGAAGCATCAGCAGGTTCAGCAGTTGAAACGCAACGCGTATTGTATGGGCCGAAGGACATGTTGTAGGGTAGTGTATACTCACGGAACAAATGGACATCCTTCGGGTAGCAAAAGCCGATCTCTTCGAGAAAGCTGGAGGACGGTCCCTACAGGGTTTCAATGGATTACAACATGTTACAACCACATGATTTCCCACCTGCATCCTGCAATCTTCATGGATGTTCATGGCTCATGGACTGCCCATGAGCTTGAGGTCATGGGGATGTTCCGGGAGAAATCCCTGAAGTATCCAGCAGTAATTCGGGAAGCACCAATGCCGCAAGTAATATTTCACCAAACACTACACAGTATCACAGAGTGTTTTTCCATGCTTTATTTTTTCAATCCATGTCGAAACCTTTGCGGCAAACTGAGATGAGATCCTGCAATCGACTTGGAGCCTGGAGCTACTTCTGTTTTGTTTTTTTCCTTGGTCCAGTAAGCACTCATTGGTCCAACAGATGTCCAACAAACTCACCTTGTCACATCAAAGAGCGCCCCAACCAGTCAGGGAATCGACTGTAGGCCACGAAAATCTCCGCAAGCGATTGCTGGCGCACGGATAGCTTGATCAATGCACAAGGGCTGAGCAGCAACTCATACTTGACTATCGACCATTTCTATCGTTCACAAGAACCATCAATTCCAAAATATGTGATCATCTGACCCAAATGACGTTTCTTTTGGGATTGGACGGGATTGGTTTCATCACTTGCATTTTTTTCCACCTCCTGATGCAATGCCAGGGCCTACAGTCTCATGCGCAGGGATCATCCATTCAAAGAAAACGTCCGACAAGTACTTCCATCTGCTTTCTAGAGTCTAGACTGAAGGATTCCCAAGAAGCAACATGCTTGCAGAAAGGCGAACTTGAATCTTGCATAATCTTATATAATCTTGCTACATCGAATGTTCTTGGTCTGTTCGGTCCTGTACTTGTCGAATCTTGAACGGAGGTTGTCCCCATGTCTTGAGGGAGCAGGGTTTTACACCATTCAATTGAAACCGGTTGACAACTGAAGCAAGGTTTCTGTCCAAACATCACGCAAATCCAACTCAAGGGTTGCCACCCCGTTCTCGACCACATGATCAACCCACTCCCACTCTGCTATGCCATTCCACTCGAATTCAGGATTTCAAGCTTTCGCCCCTTTCTGCTTCAGCTGGACGAAACAACCTGGCAATAACGGGTGGACCATTATGGACCCATTCTTGCGGGAATCTTGTCTATATTTGAGTTTTAAATTGTTTTGACTCCGGGAGGCACCTGCACAGCCACACGATTTGAGGATCTTGAGCCCTTGAAGCGGCATCTTCGACGCGCTGTTGGCTCAAGGTTGAAATTACAAGATCAGCTGGATTCCCGACAGATCGATGGATTGTTAATATTATCCCCCGTGCCCATGCACAGATCTTGTAATTCTCAAACCAAGTAGAATGAAACAGGACACGGCAAAAAAAAACATAAAAAAACAAGTGAAACCGTTGGGTTGCACTGCTGCCAATTACTGCGTGGATCCTGCGTGGTTGTGTCCACCGCAAGCGGCCCACTCTCCGTGGGAGCTTCCAGTGGAAGGTACGCAGGCATCATCAATCAAATCAATCAGCGCTTCTTGCAATTCCAAACAAGGACAAACACCAAAACTGCGCATGCTGAATGCACAAGGACAGCCAGCAAGGGAGTTGGTAAAGTTTCGAAGCACGCATAGTACGAAAGGTGTGAGGAGAGATAAACGCAACACTGGCAGATCAACAGCAAAGCAGTACTCCGACAGCCCCAACCCAATGCCAGTCTATCCATCCTGGCTGCAAACAACTCCAAAGTACCAAAATTGATGGGAATCACCAGAAAGTACCATGCCAGTCCAGATATGAAGATTGCCAAACTCCAAAGAACATCGCCATGTCGGAAAATGGCAGCTGCTTTGTCAAAGCCTTGAGCCCACAGAATCGGAACTCCAGCATGTAGCACCCACCTCTTCAATTTGAGGCAACGAAAATGGTCAGGAACTTGTTCGCCGAGAAATGTCGTCAAACGTCAAACACTCACAAATTATTTTTGATTCCGTTCAAGAAAAGTTGAAATCATTCCACCCCCCACGATCTGGACTGGTTGGAAACGAACAAACTGAAAAAATTGACCACTCTCAAGTTCTAAGCGTAGAGATCAGGTCACGTGTAGCCAAACGGAGACACTGCTAGCTGCTTCTTCAGTTCTGCTTCGACGTCGCTTCGCACCTCGATCGGCCGAGATGGAATGGAAGCCTTTGTCAAGCCAATGTAGGGTCAAGAATGAGGAGTCTGTTGACAGCTCAAATTGTCGCGAATCCTATGAACCAGGGCAAATCAAGCCATTGTGTTCACATAACATACCTGAGAAGGCGGGAAGGAAGACCAGCAGCACACAGCTTTTCAGCTCGTGTTCGCCAGGCTTTGGGTGAGACTACCGGGTCTGGGATGGTCTGGGGGAGCTGCCAAGGCAGGAAATCTCGGAGGATTTTTTTCCTGACAGCGGCTGACACCTTATCTCCTTGAGGCAAATCGGTCACTTGCTCGAGGCAAATCTGTTGCTGTGGGGTATCAATGCCCTGCCCCTGGTCTGTCGCAAAAGGAGTCGGCACGGTTGATAGGCAATGGAGTCCAGAAAGGAAGGTTCGCGTTGTTCCGCAGGGTAGCGTGCCAGAAGGGTTATGAGAGAGGCTGCAGAAATTGGTAGTGTTATGTAGTGTTAGCGCTCGGTAGTGCGGTACGCGTAACCCAGTAGCAAAAGGTGCTAAAAAGATTGTCAGAGCAGTTGCAATGCATGGTGGGCCCTGTGGAAAGGTGAAAGAAATTTGGTAAGAGAGAAACTTGTGAAAGTTGCATCGCAAGACCTCCAACCATTAAACAAGAAAACTTGGCTAGCATGGAGCAGGATGTCAACCTCAGGCGCATGATTCGACAAAAATCGACTTGTATTCGTTATTATTCGTTGATCAATTGGGTTGATTGTTTTTGGATGTTTTTGGATGTTTTTGGATGTTTTGGGTGGTCAGTTTGAGGACTTCAATGTCAATGTTCTGCCGGGTCACCAAATTGTCAAACTCATCGACCGATCCGAACCAGTTGCAAATGCTAGTTCCTAAAAGTTCTCGGTCGCATTCTATAGGTCCACCGTTGTCATCGATATGCCCGCGCATGCAGCAATGGCAAACGGTCTTGGCGAATGTAAATTCAGCAAGCTGGCGTTTCAATGTGACCATGCCTCTTCGCCAAACAAGGATGGGCCAGGCAACTGCACAGGTTGTGATGAAGACCAGAAGGAAGCGCGTGACGCTTCCACCGGGTATTCCGGAAAACACCAGGTCAGTACTCACGACGAAGGTGATCGCAATGACATTCCAAAAGGTCGCAGGTCCAAGGATGGTGGGTTTGATCACCAGCCTTCCTTGGGCCTGGTGACTTCGCAAGAAGCCGGCCAACTCGAAAACACACCACAATCTCCTTGGACGATCAAGGCGAAGCGGCGAAACGGCAACACGACCATGGGAGGTACAGTATATCCAATCAGTCATGCTATTTCGACGACATGCCTAAACTCTAGCCTTGTAGTCGTGTGCTCCACTTCACCGATATACAACCCAAATACAAACTATAAATTAAATGTAATTATATAAATACATAGTTTTTAAATATACATATATCATCATATATCAAATATATAATATATACATACCGATACAGGCGATCAGCGATACTACTCATACACGACCCAAATGTTACAGTAGCTCCGACTGCCATGATGGTCTGGGGGCTCCGTTGGGAATTTCTGATCGCAGCAGCACCACATGGAACACCAATTCATCTGGAGTACTTCAAAGGATTCAAATCATTAGATAGAAACGGAGCTCCAAGGTTTGACACTGGACCCGACCAAGACACTTGAGGTATGTGTCATCCCAAAGAAGCAACATGGACTCGGAATTCTTCAGAATTGCCCCAATGCTCAGGAGGCCTTCAGCTTTCAGCCGTGGGTTGGCCTGGTCAGGGACCAACACCTGTGCATCCCTGGCCATCCCTGGCCATCCCCAGGCCTGATGGATGCAAAAGAGGTCCACGAAAACATCAGCTCTTGGCCTTGGATGATTTGTAATATTTTGTAATCATGTCACATCGCATATCTATTTATGTATATAATAATAATATATATATATATATATATTATAATCCTATATTCAAATTTATATTCTAGATATGTACATGTATGTTTGTATAATATTGTATAATTATATGGTTACCTTGTGGTGCTATCGCATATCACTCTACCTTGGGCACCACAAGTAGATCATCAACAAAGCTGGGTGACATTCTATTGGCTTCATTCTGCTTCAGGCAGACTTTGTGATTAGCCATAGGGGTCACCTGCTCGCATGAGTCACTGGTACAGGCTTCATGAATTTTGCCAGGCCACTTCCATAGGATTATCATCAAGAGGTACGTCAATACGCCGGTCCAACAACCCCAAGCACCATATGCCTCAGAGGCTGCACTGGCACAGTTGGTGTTCGAGGTGTCATCGAAGCTTTGCCCCACCATGAGCGCAACTGATGATGGTCCTAATTTCTCCCCAACCTTCAAAGGAGTCTTGGAGCAGGTTCTTGTGGCATATTGGCAAAGACATATCATAAACCACTTTATAAGTACCCAGCCTATAGCGAAACCTCACTTTGAAACGCATAACACGCTATTTTCCGCGGCTATTTTTTGGAACAAATGGGTACAGTATTGCTAAGGTATCCCTAGGGGTACGTACGCAACTTTGTGCAAATTAGCTTCATTTGTGGACATTATATGCAACTATAGGATACTCTAAGTAATTATGCATTTTTTTTGGGCCCTCTTGCTACATGGCCCTGCTCGTGGTCGAGATGATGAGTCAGACTGCTGTGCTTGGTTATGGCGTCTTAACTACACTTATTTTTAAGAAGACGTCCTTCGTCAACAACAACAACAACAACAACAACAACAACAACAACAACAACAACGAGTCACAACAACAACGAGTCACAACAACAACGAGTCACAACAACAACAACAACGAGTCACAACAACAACGAGTCACAACAACAACAACAACAGCAGCAGCAACAACAGCAACAGCAGCAACAACAGCAACAACAACCCTATCGCTACACAGTGTTTGGTGCACTTTCCAGACCGCAACGGAGCACTCTCTTACTAAAGTAATCTAAGATAATTTTGACCATACCTCACACATGGGTCAGGTCGCAAAGGTGTTCCATCCGAACCCATTATAGTGTAAGGCGGCCATTCAAGCTGAGCAAACACACACACACACAATGGACAACTCGGACAACTTTGTTGCAATACGACAAAAACCAACTTTCCCAACAAATGCCGAAAAACAAACACAGTTCAGCTGAGCTGTGTTTTTTTTGTTGTCTGGGCCCGGAGCTTTGCCTACACCACTGTCTATGCAATGCCTACGCGGCCACAGTGGGAGCAGGTGTGCCTACGCAGGGCCAACGCCCGTGTCAAGACGCTTTAAGCTGCTCCGCTGCCTTTGTATAGCTGCTCTGCCGGGCAAGTTCCACGATTTGCTCGTATAGACGACTATCCATGAATGAACCCGGTGCCTTTGAACCTTTTGTGGATAACATTGAATCAATTTTAAAGCGTGAGATTGCAACGCCGATCATGTACAAGCACTTGAAATACAATAAAATTGTCGCCTACGCAAACAGGAAAATATTTGGAACCTTGAAAAATGCCTATGCCAACCCTATGCAATCCTTACGCCAGCCATGCAAAACCACACCGAAAGCAACATCCAGCTTAAGGCGTGTATAAACCCCTTCATGTTAAAAAAAAAGTAGCTCAGCTGGGGCACATGAGGCTCCGGTGGCGCATAATTCGAGGTCTTGACCCAGCCTGGAAGCAGTTCGAAAGCAAAGAGCAAAGCCACCAGGGCGGCAGTCGCGGTGCTAACAAAAAGCGCTGGCCATGCATTCTTGACATACCTTGGTCAGATGACTTCTGCCAGCTGCACATCGCTGCCCCATTTCTTAGTCTTATTGTTGGCAGAAGACCATGTAACTAAAACTGGAAAATCCAAATGACACAAATAACTCAACAATTTAGCAGTTGACTTCCAGGCTAGTGAATCACAAGATGCCGTCAAAACAAATTGTGCAAATTGGATCAAATTGGAACAAATTGGCAGCGCAAGCAACAAGAGGCACCAAACCTTCCAGCGCTGTCTGCCATGCCAAGAGTGGCTCCAGAACTCATCAATGGAAGTCACCGGTTTGCTGTGTTCGAACAGCTCTGCCTTTTGAGAGGTCGATCTCTTTTGCGACCACAGGTGCGTTCCACACCTCTCGGGAGCACAACTGGCCCTTTTCAAGCAGCTCACATGATCGCACATGATTCACATGTCCGTGTCTCATTGAAATGATTTCTGATCAAGGGTCCTCCACATCTCAAAGATTCATGCTGAGAGAGTCAGCCAGCACCAGCTATAAAGGTGCTTCATTCTAATGGTAACTACGCAGGCCCATCACCTATCCAATGTCATTCCAATATCAAATATCATTAAATATCCATAAATATCCATAAATAATCATATATATATATATTATATAATTATCCCAAATGGAGGCCTTTCCAGAACTTTCTCAGCTGGTACTGCCCGCAACATCTCAGCACTGGTAGCTCTCCTTGGCATCGCCCAGTGGCCGTGATGGAAAACAACCCGAAATTCTTGGGACATCCTGGGACTACGTCGCGTCGCGTATTATGGGCCTGGAAGCAAATCATCTGTTTTCCAAAACAGGTGATATCAGGTGATATCAGGTGATACGGAAATACCATTGAAATACCGCCCTAAGCATCCCAAACCCCTTGAAACTTTGCACAAAACACTGAAATAGCAAAAACACTCGTTGTTTATTAGTTGCTTATGACACATCGACTGAAGACAATCTGTCTGGCTTTTGGGAAAACTCTTATACTCAGAATGACATCGTAGCACATTAGTAGCTGTTCATAGATGTCCATCATTCTGGCAGATTCTGGCAGCAATTGATCTCTTACTGCTAGGTTCAGTGCCAACTGCGATCCGAGGTTCTGTTCCGACAAAAATATCGCGAGTTGATCCATAACAGTAGGCTCGGGGGCTGTAGGTTCCTGTGGCGGAGCCTCTTCCGCAGCCGTGTCGATCTCAACAAGTTCTTTTGGAACGTCCTCAGCGTCAGTCTGCAGTGATCTGCAGTGCATTTCACACAGTTTGCGCAGTAATTCATCACGGGGTTCTTCTCCACCTCAAATATGGGCAGAAACTGTTATCCTCGTGCCTTGAAGTCTTTTGAGATCTACATGATGTATATATATATATATTAATTATATATATATATATTAATTATATATATTATATATTTTATATATTATATATTATATATATATATATATTATATCTTATACATTATACATTATACATTGTACATTATACATTATATATTATATGTTAAAATGTATATATATATATATTATACTATATATATTATATTCTATATATATATATTATATTATATATATATTATATTCTATATATTATATACTATATATTATTTTATATATTTTATATTATACCAGGATCTTCAAAGGGGTCTCAATTTGGGGGGCTTTAGAGGGGGTCTCAATCCAACACCCCTTGTTTCTATCAATGGTAGGAATGGCACCCATTTGAAGATCCTGGTTTTTAGATGTTCTTCCCGTAGATCACAGTTGTTTTGCACACATGTCATCCCATAATATCGGAGCATTCCTTAATCGTAAGTCGAGGGCCTGACCAAGTGAGGTATTCCTTCGCCATCTTTATCGAATAGCTAGGACCCAATAATGAAGAATGATGATAAAAGGGGTGAACATTCAACTATACAACCACTGTTTGAATACCTGTCACCCCAGAGGTTCCCAAAAGGGCTGCCACCACAGGCCACTGCTCGTGGCTGCCGCAGCCCTGTCGGATGCCAGTGGTGGTGCAGGGAGTGCACTGGCAAGGGCTCAATTTTTTTGGGGGGAACATTGAAGCTACCCCGAACCAAATTCAAAACCATTTAAGAATGCAATAAACAAAACAATGAGATTTAACATATCTTAACCTACCCCAGCAAGGACCAATACTTTTTAAGCAAACCAGACGAAGCAACGCAAGAGTTCTTTTAACTTTCAAACGCAGTTTTGAGAACCGTGGAAGCCATGGCGTCGAAATCTATCAAAATGCGCCCTGAGTCCCAGAATCTTGGTCGTCCACTGGTGGGTGAAAAGTGTTTTGGATGTTGGGTCGCGGGTTTTACTGTGCCCAGGGTGGAACGGGGTATTCTCGCTGCTTGTAAACCTAAGGACATTGATGAAAAGCTTCATGGACAAAATTCCCGTCGAGACCGTGAGGAAGAACCACGAAATGCTTCCTGGGGGTGACCTTAGGTCATCGCAAAACTTGTGGGTGAGGTCGGCGTGGACCCACAGTGAGTTAAAGGTCGTGCCCAGGGAAAAGCAAATCCAAATGATTTTCGAAAAGATGGACAAAAAAATGACGTTATGTGACTCAGTTGTTTAGATGGGTATGTTTTCTCTTTCCCTTCACACCTCGGTCATTCGAATATAGTTTTGATGTTTTTGGGGCCCTAAAACTTATCCCATGTGAGTTCCAGCTGATGACCATGAGGCCCAAGGCTGGCAGCTGCTGATGCCCGAGCTGAATGGATTCGGGAACAAGCCTTTGGGCCCCACTATGGATTTGCTTTTCTCATGTCCGCTCCCAATGTTTTTTGAAAGGGTGCACCTTGCTTGTTTCGATCCTGGACACCGAATCTCATAATGTTGGCCAACACTACTCATCTCAGGCTTACCGGTGTCACCAGATCCTGCTGAAGCATGCCAAGGGTGCTCGCAAGGGACGCGTTTTCAAGAGCCCATCTTCAACTAAACCGAACCTTGCAATATATCATGCCATTTTATGTATTGCATGAGGAATTTTGTTATAACAGTGAGATTCGTTAGCGGGGCCTACACCCTTCTTCTAACATATCACCATTTCATCGGACCAGCTCCAGCCCAGGCAGTCAATCGACGACATGGAAACGCAGCCCATGGATATCGATGCTAGCGCAGACGTCCCGCTACTGACTGATGAGGATATGCAACTTGGCTCTGGACCCACAGGAGTTCTAGGGGGAATACGTTTTCAGCAGGTAATCCTTTCAGCGCATAGGGTGTCATTCGCCAAAATCCTAGGAAACTGGCTCATGACTCTTCCGCTATCCCTTCAGTCCCACTTCCTGGCCAAGAGCGGGGGGAGTCGGAGACAGAAACGGAAGATGAAGAGGAGGAGAAAAAGTCTGAGAACGATAAACATATCGTTTTCACACCTTCCCAATTTTTCTTTACCAAGGTCACAATCAGAACAGCCTTTGCTAGTTAAGTCAGCTGGCTTCCCTCGACTCGGCAGGACACAGATGATGATGAAGGAGCAGAGGATGAAAAAGCAGAAGGTGAGGATCCCACAGAACCAAAGATGGCAGAAGATGACAAGGCGAAAAGTGATAGGGATTCAGATGATGAGAAGAAAGAGGCAAGCAGCAAAGCAGAAGATACAGAAGAGGAGCCTCAGGGCAAAAGTGAGGAGGAAGAAGATGCCGAAGAGACGGAGCCCTCAGAGCATGAGGGTAGTCAGCGCGAAGGTGACAAAGAAATGGCCAAAGAGATGAGCGAGAAGGAGGCAGAAGGCAAGAAAGAGCAGTCAGACAAAGATGAAGAAGACGAGAAGCAGCAAGAAGACAGTGAAGGGCAAGCAGAACATGAGGATGAGGACAAAGAGAAGAGCGATGAGGAGGTAGCAGACGAGAAAGAGCAGTCAGACGAAGATGAAGGAGACGAGAAGCAGCACAGTGAAGGGCAAGCAGAACATGAGGATGAGGACAAAGAGAAGAGCGATGAGGAGGTAGCAGCAGAAGAGAAAGAGCAGTCTGACGAAGATGAAGAAGACGAGAAGCAGCAAGAAGACAGTGAAGGGCAAGCAGAACATGAGGATGCGGACCGAGAAAAGAAGGATGAGGAGGTAGCAGACGAGAAAGAGCAGTCAGACGAGGATGCGGAATACTGTCAGGAGCAGCAGGACAAAGAGAAGAGTGAGGAGGAGAAAGAATCAGAGAGAGAGGCTGAAACAGAGGAGGAGAACAAGGAAGATGCAGCATGTACAAGTTCAGGTGCAGAAGAGCACAAGGATGAGACAAAGAGCGACGATGGCAGCAACATGGAGGATCAAGAGGATGACGAGAAGACGACAAGCGAGGCAAGTGCGCAAGATGAGCCGAAAGAGGCAAGCAGCGAAGCACAAGATGAAGAAGAAGAGCTTCAGGACAAAAGTGAGCAAGAAGAAGATGCGGAAGAGAAGGAGCCCACACAGCATGAGGAGAGTCAGAACGAAAATGACGAAGAAATGGCCAAAGAGATGAGTGAGAAAGAGGCAGAAGGCAAGAAAGAGCAGTCAGACGAAGATGACGAAGACGAGAAGCAGCAAGAAGACAGTGAAGGGCAAGCAGAACATGAGGATGAGGAGGTAGCAGACGAGAAAGAGCAGTCAGACGAAGACGCGGAATACTGTAAGGAGCAGCAAGACAAAGAGAAGAGTGAGGAGGAGCAAGAATCAGAGAGAGAGGCTGAAACAGAGGAGGAGAACAAGGAAGATGCAGCAGGTACAGGTTCAGATGCAGAAGAGCGCAGGGATGAGACAAAGAGCGACGATGGCAGCAACATGGAGGATCAAGAGGATGACAAGAAGATGACAAGCGAGGCAAGTGCGCAAGATGAGCCGAAAGAGTCAAGCAGCGAAGAACAAGATGAAAGAATGTCTCAGGATAGCGGTGCTGAGAGAAAGGAGGTTGAAGGTGAGGCAAGGGAAAGTGACGAAGCTGATGCAAGAGACGAGGCAGCAAGGGAAAACCGGAGGGTGCCAGCAGGATGTCTCAATATAAGCATTGAAAAGCTTGGTGTCCAAAAATATGCCCAGATACTTCTGAACTATATGAACTACAGGGAAGCAAAAGGTAGACAAGTCAAAGAGCAAGAGGGCTTACATAGGGACTTAGAAATGCTCACGCGATACCTTCGATCAGAAATGAGTGAGGATGAGAAAAACCAAAGAAAACAGGAACTGCAGTCAATTTTGCAAAGGCTTTACTTCTCTTCGCAGGAGGTTGGAGAAGCAGAAGAGAGCTACAGATCAGCCCTGGAACAAGAAGAAGAAGAAGAGAGCAGTGCTGAAAACAAGGATGAGAATGCCAGTGACGAAGTTCCGTCAGAACGGCCAACTTCACCGAAGAAAAACTCAAGGGAGGGGGCTTCAGAGAAGGATGGAGATTCGTCAAAGAAAGCAAGCGTCAGTGAGGAACAAGGCATGGATGAGGAGGAACACAACACAGAGCACTCTAGCAGCGAAAGCTCGACAGAGACCACTTCAACAACGTCAAGTTCAAGCCAAGGTGTTGATGATGTCGAGGAAGCTGCAAAAGCAGCAGAAACAAGAGCAGAAATGGATGTTGCAGGATTCACCTCTGAGCATGAACCCATAGAAGAGAAGCCTTCGAAAAAGCGCAAGGCCACCAACGCCACGACTGACTCCAAAAAATGCCCCAGGGAGCGCGCAGATCAATGCATGAGGAATGCCTTGACCAGGCAGAGCAATGATATCGAGGAGCAGCTGGAGAGGGAATATGAACGTGCAGGTTTGAAACCCAACCGACGCATCAGAGGGAAGTCTCGCTCCTTGCCCAAATTTATTTGCATTCCATTCCCAGTTACTTTATTGCGAGTGATCCCAAACATGGCCTGACATTCTACCTGACGTCTATGCTGACATTCTATTTGGCAGAATCTGGCATTCCTTCCGGCATTCTATCTGGCATCTATTCTGCAATCACGAGCTTGCAATTCAGGTCCAGCGGGGAACACTCTGATCCTGGGCTTGCGAGCTTGCAGTTGAAGTCCGGCGGGGAACACCGTGATCCTGGGCTTGCTGTGCGGGTCCTGCGGGACCACGGCGATCATGAGCTTGCAGTTGATCCCATGAGGTCCGGCGGGGAACACTCTGGTCCTGGGCTTGCTGTTCGGGTCCGGCGGAGGCCACTGCGATCACGAGCTTGCAGTTGAGGTCCAGCGGGGAGCACTCAGCCTGGGCTTGCTGTTTGGGCCCGGCGGGGACCACTGCAATCACGAGCTTGCAGTTCAGGTCCGGCGGGGGAACACTCTCATCCTGGGCTTGCTGTTCGGGTCGGACCACTGCAATCACGAGCTTGCAGTTGAGGTCCGGTGGGGAACAGGGGAACACTCTGATCCTGGGCTTGCTGTTCGGGTCCGGCTGCGACCACTGCGATCACGAGCCTAGGCTGCTTGCGAGCTCGCAGCTGAGGTCCAGCGGGGAACGCTCTGATCCTGGGCTTGCTGTTCGGGCCTGGCGGGGACCACTGAATCTTGATCTTGCAGTTGAGGTCCGGCGGAGGATAAGAAGAAGGCGGGAGGGACGGCTGACATAAAATCTAACATCCTTCACCTGACAGGTGGAGAAACACGCTTTTGTTTTGATGGTGGAATTAGGTATGAGAAGGACAAAGTTGCAAAATTTGTACATCTTTCTGACCGCTATAGATGGATACAAATATGGTATTAATATATCCAAAAATATCCTGTTAGGACTCCAGTTGGGACCCCCTTGTATATACTTGTGTACTGGACCAGGGAAAGGGTGGGGCCCAGCAATGGGCCCCCCAACTTTCCTAAACATTCATTGAGCCAGCTGGTGGGCCATCGGTTACAATCCAAGCCCACATGTGTTGTCACCATCTAGGCGACCTTGAGAGCAAGCCTGCTCCACCACCGGGGCCGGCATCGAGCAAGATGAAGAAACCAGCAGCCAGCATGCCCCCCAGAGAAACGCTGAAGGCACGAGGAAAGGAGCCGAAGAAACCCGATGAGAAGGCAAAGGAAACACCAAAAGGGTCCAAGGACCTTTCAAGCCAAAGTTTCCCCAGTTGAGAAATTTCTCCAGTCATTGTGTTCGTGTCAGGGAACCTGCACTTGTGTCTCCACTGTTGCTGCTTTTGGATTGTTTTATCCATCACAACTCCTCAACTTGATCCTCCATCTCGGAGGACGGAGACACGAAGGTCGCTACGGTTCCCTTCGAGGACATGGCGTCTAATGCGTTTGCAGTCACGATCACCCGTGTGCAGCAAGAAGCATTAAAACAAGCTGGTTGTAAAGTGCCAACACCATCCGAGCAACTGGCTCTTGTTGCTGAAAGAAGGGCTAAGAAAACGGAAACGACGCGCATTTCAATCTGAAGGACCATTTTCTTTGAACCTCGTGTTTTTTAGTCTTACTTTTGTCCATCGCGTCATGCGAGAACCATTTCAACAAGTCTCTGAGATTGCTAGCCGCTAGCCTAGCTAAGGAAGTATGAACTTCTAAGCTCCGTCGGCTTCCAGGACTGGGCTGTGGAAATCCGGAGGAGATTGCGTGGGAAAGCTAAGGGACAGCTCTACAAAGTCTTCATCTACAAGAGAGACAACAAACCAGTGTACGTCTTGATGCTACGCTGCACTAGTGCAATCCCAGCGTCAAATCGCAAGCACACAGTTTATGCAGTTTGAGGACACATACCACATGCACAAACTGCTTATAAGGAAAGAGGCCACGGCAAAAGGATTCAGTGACCCGGACGGGAAGGTCGCCGAAGCTATGAAACAAATCCGTATGAAGCGTGCTGGTTCCTTCAAGCGGAAGCGGACTCAGTCCCAATCCCAGCTGGATTGCGGCAAAGCCGCCAAGCGAAGATGATGTCTTTTTTCCATTCAGAGGCCCCGGGATACGGGACCCTGTGCTGAGCTGAGTACAAACATTGAAAACCGACAGTCTGAAATTCAATCGCATTCTTAAAAGTCTTGTGATGAAAGTGCGCGCATGGGTTGCCGGACAAAAGGGGCTTTTGGGACAAGTGCACACCATATCTTGCAGATGGCCTTTTCAATCTTATGGGTGCCTCTGTTCTGCCCCGGGCCTCCCGCCGATCGATCCAAGCCTGCTAGTCAAAATTCAGAAAGCCGACAGCTGCAGCTGCTGGCACCTGCCGGTTGTCACGTTTGCACACTTTGGCTGGGCCAAGGCCCACTCACAGGATTGCCAGAAGTTTAGGCCCAAATCGTTTCCCAGAGCTAGCACTTCATGAAACCATCCACGCTGCTCCCGGTATTGGCGTTACTGGCTACTATTCCAGTACCCAGAGAGTCCAATGATTTTGTCCCTTGGCTCAACAACACGTGCTGCGCATATTAACTTCACAATAAGCAAAGAATTCATGCCATTACCATTCTGAGGTTGAGATTTGTAGTGGAGAAGGACAATTTTCCCGGTGTCTCTGGTCACTAGGATACCAGGGAAAGGCCTTTGACGCACCTTGGCGACAACAGTGGCTAGCGGCCAGCCAAGAGTTTCCCAAAAAGCGACTCTGATGAGGCCGCATGATTCCACATCGATCTGAGGTGAGATATTCGAAGAATCACAACCTTTTGAGATCAGTCGGGTTCGTGACTGTATTGGCAGCTGTTGGGGCCACAGGTCTGATCACAGATCTTCTTGAATTCAGCGATGTAAAAGTTGACACAGAACGGTTTTCTGACTTGGTATATCAAAAAAGAGTTGTTGATAGATGAGGTCAGAAACACCAAAAGAGGTGGGCTTGTTCTAGTTGCACCACCTTGTGCAACGTGGGTATTCTTGTCACTCGGCTACCATGTTTGGAACCAACGCTTGCATGTAATCTCTGCATTAACTCCACTAGTTTTACCAGGTTAGATCCAACGCTGTTGTCCAGGTCTTTTGCGTCGACAGGACGCTCGTGGCTAAACCCCGGTGGAAATATGAGGAAGTGCACGCTCCTAGCAAATGTGCTAGTGATGAGACTTCTTTACATGTACCTTGGCCATCGGCTCCACTCGCCAACAGTAACTAAGATTTGTTGCTGTTGTTCCAGAAACTCTTTCATGCTGTCCCTTTACAGCTGAGACTTTGGTACGCGTGGCAGCGGGGAGTATACTTCCTGATTGAGCAGCCAATGTCTTCGGTGTTGGCCTCAACTATTTGTCAATATTTGTCACTCGTATGCCCACAAATTTGGTGTGCCCAGCACTTTCCTCGGCCCATACGGATTGCTGCAGGTGATGTTTGCCTGGGGTCCTATGCAAAGGTTTTTGGCCGCTTGCAGCGCAAGGACTGGCACTTCGTCTATCACCGTTTATCATGCCAGTTTCCTTCCCAAGTAAAACTAACTCCCTCCCTACATTTTTTTGGGGGCACCAACGCCAACAATCTTCATGTTTTTGGCACAATGTCTTGTGGGGTTAGGCTTTGCGTGCGACCTCGCAGGCGTGTGGCCTTTCCAATGGGTAGCTATGGAGCTGCAACGATGAAATGGACTGTGTTGCTGAGCCAAAAAATCAATGTCGCTCTACCACGTTTTCGAATAATATATTAATTGAAATATGTTACAGTCTCCTCTCGTGCGTTATTCTGTTTCCTTTCGTATACACTTTCCTTTTTGGCTGTCGTATACTGTCCTGTCTCCTCTCGTATACTTTGCGTTGGTTTCCCTCGTATATTCTAGTTTGCTCTCGTATATTCTACCTTTTTCATATATACTCTACTTCTATTTTTGCTGTCGCATACTCGTGTATTTTACTCTCGTAAATTCTTATCGTTTTTCTCTCGTATACTCTATTTTATTTCTCTCGTGTGTTCTATTCTTGCTCTCGTGTATTCCTCTCGTATACTTCTTCCTTTCTGCGCTCGTATACTCGAATATTTTTCCTCGCGTATCTATCCTTTTTCTTCTCGTTTTCTCTTCCTTTGTTTCTCTCGTATATTTTGTTTTTGCTGGCATATGTTTTCACTCTCGTATTGCTGGTTTTTCTTGTACTATATGTTTCTCTCGTATGTTCTATTCTTTCTCTCGCGTATTCCTCTCGTATACTCATTCCTTTTTGCGCCCGTATACTTGTACCAGCAATAGGATTCCTCTCGTATCTCTCCTTTTTCTTCTCGTATGCTCTTCCTTTGTTTCTCTCGTATATTCTGTTTTTGCTGGCATATGTTTTCACTCTCGTAAATATTGCTTGTTGATTCTCGTGTTATATGTTTCTCTCGTCTATTCTACTCTTGCTCTTGTGGACTCCTCTCGTATACTCCTTCCTTTTTGCGCCCGTATACTCGTGTATTATTGCTCTCGTATCTCTACTTTACCTTCTCGTATATACTCTTCTTTTGCTTCTCTCGTATGTTGTATTTTGGCTCTCATGTGCTCGCATAAATGTGTTCCTCGTATATAATCTATCCTTTTTGCTTGGGTTATACGCTCGTATATTTTTCTTCTCGTATGCTATCCCTCTATAAGTATTCTTCCGTATGTTTTTTTTTCTACTTGTTCCTTTCGATATAGTATACGAGTAGATTGTGAACCCCTGTTAAAGCGTATGCGGAACCCCCTTTAGAGGATACGAGAACCATCCTTCCGGGTATATACGCCCCTTCAGAGTATATATGCGCGGATTCCTTTTAACAGAAACCTTGTTCGGGCAACAGGCCGACAAAACATACACCACGTCTCAATCATTCGTATTCCAGGACCGTCCCAATCACACCCCCTCAAGTTTGCACCTGAGGGTGTGGGGGACTTTGCCAAACATCTCTCGCCTTCGACGATCTTTGAATGTTCAGCAGCTTCGCGAAGCCCTGGCGAGGAGTGGATTGGTGTGACAGGGGATTGCAGTGGACACATGTCAACAAAACATGAAACATTGCAGCGGTGGGCTAAATGTTTGAACCTGGTTTTGTTGGTTTGGGAAATGCTGTGGGCTGTTTGGCGGTTCGCTCACAATGTCTCGCAATGTCGCAATGACTTTGAGGCCACCAGGTACTTTAGCGGTAGCTTCTGTTAATGCTTCAACTGTCAGCCATCTCCATGTATATAAGTTATCCCAGTGTTGGACCAAACCATACAAATCGAAATAGGCATGGTATTCTGCCGAAGTCATGACACATGTGTGTTTTCCCACAATGTCGAAGCATTTTGGTATGTCGCTTGCTCTGGCAGGACTGGGGAAGCCCTCGTAAAAAAGACAGTGGATGCGTCTGGCCGTGTTCGGGTCGTGACTAGGTGGTAATTTGATCATCAGCCAGCATTTGTTGCTGGAAAATCTTTCTACATTTGAAACTTCTCAGAGGCTTCAAAGCGGTCCCAGCCATTTACGCACTGCAAAGCTTTCAGATCTCATCCCCAACACCTTGAATCATTTGGAAGATTCCAAGCCATCCGATGGGCCCCAGCCGTTTACGCATTGCCTCCCTATCCAAATCCAAGGCCGGTGTGAAGAGAAAGTTGGAGAAGAGCGCTGCCTATCCACGAGATTTTGGCATGGCAATCGCGAGCTTGATGGTTCCCAGGCAGCCCCCACTGGTGGCTGACATTTCCAGCTTTGAGTATGTAGCTGATGGTGATGATTTGGGGTGCCTCCAAGACATTTTAGAAGGCTCCCACAAAACTTGGTGGCGGAAGCTTTAACCAAATTGATGAATGAAACTCCAATGCCATTATGAAATTGAATTGGGCACAGCTGCTTGTCCCAAAATAAAGCATGTTTGGGGGAAAGGCAAGTGCCACCAAGCCAGACTACGAACTGCGTCCCGAGTCAAAAAAAAGCAAATTGCCTACAAAGTAGATCATTTGCAGTGCTTGGGACTTGATGCTTCAGCCAAGTCGGTGGACAGTAGGAACTACCATGTTTTGCAGCTCGGGCTCTGGAGAAAAAATCTTAGCTGCTTCCACCTTTAGGATGGCCAACCTCCCAATTCAAAACATCTTGAAAGTTGTAGCCCACGAGCGCATATGTTTAAGCTGCTGGATTCCGGGTTTGAAAAAACACCTGACCGAGCTACTTGGTTGATACTGTACTCTTTCCCACTCCTTTTCCACAAAGAGTTGGGGAGGACTTTCCAGCCAGCATGCTGTAACTTGGGCATCTGGTAACTTTGAGGGAACAAAAAATTTGGGAAGTTTCAAATCTCAACCCATGAAATCTAAGGAGTGAATACATCATTGTGAACCAAGTCAGCAAGGATTGCAGGTGTGATGAGCTTTCATCTCAATCGATGATCGAGAGCGAGCGAGAAGAAAGGACCACTCAGATTTGGAAAGGGCAGCTTGATGTTCAGACAGATCGATCATAGACCGATCAAATACATATATATATATATTAATTGGCTCTCCTGGGAAAAGTTCCAGCCAATGTTTGGGTGTATCACAATTTCACGAAGGTTCACAACTGTATAATATATGACAAAGGGTTTCCAAAAAAACAGGAATCTGCTGTGATCTTGTTGCCCAAACAGGTGGTTGTTTCCCACAGGCCTGGTGTCGAGGCTGATTCGTGCTTCGACCTGTAGTGACGACTCGGGGAAAAACGAGGGGACTGGGTGCGTGTCAATGCGTGTCACTTGCGTGTCATTGGGTCCCACTAGGGGTGCCAAATTGGAACCCCTGCTCGTAAAGGGGTGCCAAATTGAAACCCCTTGCTCGTATAAGGGGTGCCAAATTGAGACCCCTTCTTGTAAAGGGGTGCCAAATTGAGACCCCTTTCGGTGGGGGGTGCCAAATTGGAACCCCTTCAGAAAACGTGTCATTTGCGTGTCGTTTTGAAGCCAAAATTGACGTTTTTCTGTCTGAACATTTTCCCCTAGATTCCTCGTATTTCGGCTCTGTAGGGTACACGAACGTTCCTTGCCACATTTTGTGGCTTGCAGGGCTGTAATGACGCCTGAAGAGGCAAACTGATACGCAGTCTGAAAGTACTACTCTTAGCTCATAAACCAACTGGATTTGAAAACGCCTGATCCATTTGCCGTACCACCCCGCGACTTCTGCCAGGCAGAAAAGATAAGAAAGGAGAAGAGCTCGATGGACCCAAAAGCTGCAAAAGTCATGGAAGAATTCGAAAGAAAGAGGCAAATCTTACAGGCTGCAGTGAATGAAGATGAGAGAAGAGCAGCCAGAGCAGACCTGAATAAACTTGGAGGAGGAAAAGACACAAAAAACAAAGATAAGAGGAAAGATAAGAAGAACAGGAAAGAGAAGAAGAAGGCCGACGCACTCGCCAAAAAAGGTGATGAGAAGCATGAGGCAAAACCAAAGGATGCGAAGCAGGAGGCGAAGCCTAGAGAGAGTGAAGCTGCCTCTTCGAAGCATGTGAAGGCCAGCAAGGGTGAAGGATGCAGTAAAGAGGTGAAGACGGCAGCCAAGAAGCAAGATGAGAAGAAAGCAAAGGTGAAGCCAACTGAAAGCGCAGCCGAACCTTCAAAGAAAGAAGCCAGCAAGAGCCCGGCAAAGAAGGATGACAAGAAAGACAAGCAGGAAAAACAAAAGGAAAAGAAGCCACAGGAAGATGAGGCTAGACCCAAGAACAACAACACACAAGCAAGCACAGACCCCGCAAGCAAGAAGGATGAGAAGAGCCAGGGCAAGAAGCCCAAGGAGCATGAAGTTCCGAAGAAAGATGCGCAGGCCAGCAAGAGTGCAGGAAGCAAAACGTTGAAGGAGAAAAAGAAAGAGGAACAAAAACCAGGTGGTTGCAGCTGCATCCGTGAAGAGCGCGAAGAAAGCTGAGGGTAAAGATGCGAAGACAAAGGGTTCCAAGTTGGAAGACGAGGGGTCCACATCTTCAAAGAAAGGTGCGACTGTGAGCAAGCAAGAAGGAAGCCAGCAGGAGGAGGCGAAGCCTAAGGAGAGTGAAGTTGAATCTTCGAAGCATGTGAAGGCCAGCAAGAGTGAAGGATGCAGTAAAGAGGTGAAGACGGCAGCCAACAAGCAAGACGAGAAGAAAGCAAAGGTGAAGCCTACTGAAAGCGCAGCCGAACCTTCAAAGAAAGAAGCCAGCAAGAGCCCGGCAAAGAAGGATGACAAGAAAGACAAGCAGGAAAAGCAAAAGGAAGAGAAGCCAAAGGAAGATGAGGCTAGACCCAAGAACAACAACACACAAGCAAGCACAGACCCCGCAAGCAAGAAGGATGAGAAAAGCCAGGGCAAGAAGCCCAAGGAGAATGAAGTTCCGAAGAAAGATGCGCAGGCCAGTAAGAGTGCAGGAAGCAAAACGTTGAAGGAGAAAAAGAAAGAGGAAAAAAATCAGGTGGTTGCAGCTGCATCCGTGAAGAGCGCGAAGAAAGCTGAGGGTAAAGATGCGAAGACAAAGGGTTCCAAGTTGGAAGACGAGGGGTCCACATCTTCAAAGAAAGGTGCGACTGTGAGCAAGCAAGAAGGAAGCCAGCAGGAGGAGGCGAAGCCCAAGGAGAGTGAAGTTGAATCTTCGAAGCATGTGAAGGCCAGCAAGAGTGAAGGATGCAGTAAAGAGGTGAAGACGGCAGCCAACAAGCAAGACGAGAAGAAAGCAAAGGTGAAGCCTACTGAAAGCGCAGCCGAACCTTCAAAGAAAGAAGCCAGCAAGAGCCCGGCAAAGAAGGATGACAAGAAAGACAAGCAGGAAAAGCAAAAGGAAAAGAAACCAAAGGAAGATGAGGCTAGACCCAAGAACAACAACACACAAGCAAGCACAGACCCCGCAAGCAAGAAGGATGAGAAAAGCCAGGGCAAGAAGCCCAAGGAGAATGAAGTTCCGAAGAAAGATGCGCAGGCCAGTAAGAAGCAAGGAAGTGAGAATGAGTCGCCCGAGCAGAGAGCTGCGAATAAGTTGAAGAAGAAGCAAGAGAAGGAGGAAAGCGAGGTGGCTTTGGAGCCAATTGTCCCACGGAAGAGAGATACAGTAGCAGATTCGACAGGCACGCCTGAAAGGCCGTTGAAGAGAAGCAATCAAGGTCAAGAGCAAACAGGCAGGAGGGACAAGAGAAAGGCCGAGGAAGTTGCTGCAGGCAGAGAAGGAAAAAGAACCAGGACGCAGGACAGCCTGGGTGGTGCGGTGGTTTCCTTCCATCTTTTTTCCTTCAACCTCCGGAATAGCTCCATGTTTTTCTATATACGTGTGATTTGTATCCTGGCGCCTTTCTGACATATCTTCTGGGATTTTTCTGACATATAATTACATATTCTGACCCTCCCAAAACTACGTACTTCCCATAAATCTTTTGGTGGTCCATGGTCAGGAACTCTTGACGGAGCGAACTGACACTCTCTCGAGCTTTGACCTGAGCTCACCGACGCGGGCCTCGTCGATTGCACCCGCACTAGATGCCCTGTCGGCGCTGGAAGGTGATGACGGCGATGTTTCTCGGCTCAGTTATTTGAATTTTGCTCGGCCCTGGAACCCAGCCAACTTGTGGTGTGGTAAACTGGTCTGGTCTATATGTTCAAAAGAAACACCAATAAGTAAGCTGACTCTTCCCATCAACATATGGCCAAGGCAACACTGGTGATATTGAGATCACACGAGGTGGAAGCATGAGGCTACTTTTTTTAGAAATAAAAATCTTACATCGAGATAGATGCAACTCCTCCCAGCAGTATGTTTATCAAGCCAGTTGTATGGGTCGCCCAGGCTTCACCTACAGAAAGCCCGAAGGAGAAAGTTGGGAGAGTGGCCCGCCGAAAGGATCTTTCTGAAGCCGAACGACAACAAATCGCTGATATGACCCACCCGAGCCAGATGCCGTACAAAGCTGCTAGGCTCAAGCTTTTCGCCCAAACCTTTGGTATGACAAGCCGTCGCTAATGAGAGATTTTTCCGACACAACTTGGATTGATCAAGTGTCAATCTGAATCGGCTGGGTCGGTAATGAAACCGGGGGTTCCGATTTTGCTGTGCTTTGCTTTCAGGAACGGAAGAGACAATATGCAGCTCTCCGAAGAGCAATTTTCAAAGATGCTCCACCAGGACTGGTTGCGAAGTTCAGTCTTTGTGGGGACAAAGAGCGGTTACTCATCTTAGTATTGGCATGGCCCTCCTACTCGGGGCAGTGCCAGTTTTGAACATATGTCAACTTCAATTATTTTGCTTCGAGTGATCGCATGGCATTCCAAGGCGTATAGTCTGACATTTTTCCTGACATTCTATCTGACATCTATTCTGACATTGTACCTGCACTTCTTTCTATCTGGCAATCTGGCATCTTTTCTGGCATCTATTCTGCGAATGATGAGCTTGCAGTTGAGGTCCGGCGGCCACCACTCTGATCCTGCATGAGCTTGCTGTTCGGGTGCGGCGGGGAACACTCTGATCTTGTGCTTGCTGTTCGGGTCCGGCGGGGACCACTGCGATCACGAGCTTGCAGTTGAGGTCCAGCGAGGAACACACTGATCCTTATCTTGCTGTTCTTGTCCGGCACGGACCATTGCGATCACGAGCTGGGAACACTCTGATCCTGGGCTTGCTGCTCTGCTTTGGCCGGGACCACTGGGACACTCTGATCCTGTGCTTGCTGTTCGGGTCCGGCGGGGCGGGGGCCGGGGACCACTGCGATCACGAGCTTGCAATTGAGGTCCGGCGGGGAACACTCTGATCTTGGCTTGCTGGGTCCGGCGGGGACCACTGCGATCACGAGCTTGCAGATGAGGTCCGGTGGGGAACACTGTGATCCTGCGGCTTGCTGTTCGGGTCCGGCGGGGTGCAATCACGAGTTTCAGCGCCGGAGGAGAAGAAGGGGGGAGGGACAGCTGACATTAAATCTAAAAACCCTCACCTTCACCTGTGGTGAAAAACAAGGATGATGAAGAATGACAATTCGGACCTTTTCTTACATAAACATGCCGCCGCCTGTCGCCACTAAGATTTGGAATGCTGAAGTCGTGGTTGGCATCTGGGGGAGATCTAGGGAGCATCGATGTCGAAGAGCGATATGAATCTTGGGTGTCCAGTCTTCGCACTGACCGTTACGTCACAGTGTGGGACTGAGGAACGTACCCAGCATTTCACTCGTGGTTGCATGTGCACATGTGGAGACTGATTTCCCTTAGCTTCAAGAAATCTTCCTGGTGCCAGAAAACTGATCCACTCAAAAGCTGCATCTTTATACGCTTGTTGAAAGTTGATCATGAGACAGGGTCAGCTTCTGGGGCCGATTTAGATGGAAAACCGCACTGAGAACTAAGCGGCTTCCCTTTCTTCACACGCGATTCTAAGGTCACAGAAATGCAGCTGGAAAAAATTTACGGGAAATCCAAAGAATCCCGCGAGTTCATTGCCACACTCATTGCGGGCCAGCGGGGGACTCCCCACCCCCAGGCCGGTCCTGGGATGTTTTCTTCCTCCCTTGCTCAACCTTCCGCTTCTCGTGCCTTGGCAGGCGCCCAATCTGAAGAAAGCAAGACTCTATAAGGTCTTGCGCGAAGTTGTTCATGAAGACTCACAGGGCACTGGTTCAAAGACTCGTGCTTCTCAGTCTTAATTTCACCCAACGCCTCTAATATCAAATGATCCATACAACATCATACAACCACCCAAGGGGCCCCCAAAAGGAACAGATCCGATATTAAAGGAGATGGTTCTATCGTATTTTTACAAGAGATATGAATGTTACGGGGAAGTGATTCTGTTGATGATGGCTACCTATCTATGTTTCCACCGGTATCCCAACCATGTGCTGCTGAATGAAACCAAAGGCTATCCCGATCACCCGCATAGTATATTTCTATCGCGTGCAATTTCCCGCGCATGTCAGGAGAGGGATTTCTATAAAACCAATGAAGCAATGAAATGCCTGTTTCTTTTTTAATCTGATGATATCCCAACAGTTCACCATTGATATTCCAGGATGCTCCGGTCTATATTTCAGGTTGACATTTACATGGGGAGGGTTACGAGTGAGCTGAGGCTACGCTGTCAGGCCGCGTCCGTGACAGTGGGGCCAAGGAGGTTCTGAAAAAGCAATTGGCAGGACTGACGGATAGCATGCCAGAGTTTTTGGACCTAAAGACAGGCCGACTGGCCAGCAAGAAGGTTAAAAAGGAAAAGACACCAGAGGAGGAATGTATGGCAAATGTGAAAAAAATGCTCAAAAAGAATCTTGGCTTTCACGAACTTTGCTGAGTAAGAAGCAAGATCTTTGGTATTTTGATGGAATGCATTTCAAACACGTTAACAGCATACCATGCATCCCAGGTGGAAGGCTGTGAACAATGAGCTCTATTCGTCTATGCAGGGTTTGGACGACTATGGGGTCCGAAATTGCGCTGAGCTGGTGTCTCGCTTGCACCTGGGTTAAGGGGAATTCAAAACAACTCTGTTTCGTGCGATCCCCACCGTGACTTTTGCCCTGACATTTTGACTTTTTATCTGACATCTTCTCTGCTGGCATGTTGTCTCGCGGTTTTTGCGGCGATCCATCTGATAGCTTTAACTCGCACATATTGTGATATAACATATTTTCCGACAGTTTATTTCACAAATATTGTGACATTCTAACTGACGTATGTTCTGACATTATAGCCGGCATATGTTCGGACATTTGACCTCGCATCTTTCTGGCAGTCTAGCTGCATTCGATCTACATGGCTTTTGACATTTTACTTGGCATTCTATTTGACACCATGCATTCTATATCTAGCATTCTGCCTGACTTTTTGCTTCCCATTCTTCATCACACTTTTCTGGCATTATATCTGCATTTTGTTTGAAATATCTATCGACAATATTCTGACATTCTATTTGACATATTATCTCACATTCTATTTCGCATATTTTCTGAATTTATATGTGCCATTTTTTGGCGTTGTATCTGATGTCTATCTCGACATTTTCTTTGGCAGTCTATGTGGCATTTTCCTTGCCAGTCCCTAGCATTCGACTTGGCATTTTTTGGCAAGCTCCCCAAAGAGCTGGCCAGCTCGCTATAGGGGTTAGGCCCATCAGAGAGCCAGGGTTCGGGTCCAGCGGCCCCTGAGAGCTGGCTCGCTATATATGGGCCAGGCGAGCTCGCCATAGAATGGCCGTGGCACGGGAGGCTGGCAAACAAGCTGGCTATAACGTGCTCTGTGTGTGCGTGCGTGCGTGCGTGTGTGTGTGTGTGTCAAACGAAGCTCCCTATGGTGTCCTTAGGATATCCAGGCTGATCACCTGGACGTACCTGCAACATGCCGAGTGTGAAATGGCAACTTGGCTAAGCCAAAACCCACCTACGCCGACACTACATTACATAACACCATTACATAACACGACTAAATCATCTCATCTCATATCACGTTCTCCTCTCGGGATGTTTTCAAGTGCGTGTCTGGGTTGGGCGCGTCCGGGCATGTGCCGGCGGGGTGCCTTTAACTTACCTGGCGCGTAGGGAAAAACAACACCACACAGTTCTGAAAAGAATCCTGTCTTTGAGAACCACACACGTTCTGGTGGTGATGTTAAGAAAATGCATCTTATTTCTTGAAAGTCGCCACTGCAAACCAAGAAGAAGTGCCTAAAAGATCACCAACTCCCAGCGCAAGATGGATTCGGAGAATGTGATCAGCGAGCCGCGACCCCACCGAGCACCATTGATTTGCAGGAGATGTTGTCTTGGCTCGAAGAGTCAAAGAAAAAATGCAAAGCAATTGATGATGACGTCAAAGACGCCAAGCGCCGAGTCAATGCGGCCAAAGGGCCGAAGAAGAAGACAAATAAGGCTCTTCCAGCTGAAGATGCCTCAGATGCGGCAAGCGAAGCCGCTGACTCGGAGGCATGATTTATTAACAAAATCACAATACTTGTCAGCTCGAGCCTGGTGGTAAAACAAAATGCACCACTTTACTTGATAACGTTGGTTTAGCCTCATGAGTCAGCAGAGTGAAACTCGCTTGCAGTCCTTTTTTTTCTCATCAGGGAACTCCAGTGACCAATGGACCTCACTCACGGCCTATGTTTACCAGTTCGTTCAAGACCACCTTGTTTCAGATGGTATCACCGTCTCAGGCTGTGTTTTCCCACTGGGTCAAACCATGGAGCCAGTGCAGGCCGCGTGCTCGTGAATGTGGAAATCACTTGCAAGCCTAGTTATTTTGTTCAGTCGTCGTTTTGCTTTCATTTTTGATGTGCCACAATCTTGCTGTGACACGTGGCGCCTGACTGGAGACGTGGCCTTGCGCCACCAATCTGGGTGCCCAGCTCTGCGTCGATGGATGGATAGCACCTCCGGTGCAGTGTTGGTTAGGACAGCTGTCAAATTTGGGGATTAGATCTCTGAAACATAGGGGACGGAAAAGCGAAATCTGTGCGCAATGTTACGCAGACATGAGTGGCAGCACATGTATGCAAAGCATGTGTTGTCATGGTATGTGTGTTTGGCGCGGCTTTCAAGGAGTCCTGGGGGCCATGCCAACAGAATGGGAGTCGGGTTCAAATTTCATGATTCATCATGTTTCAGGTGTGGTGAGGTGGATGACGTAATTACTTCGATGCTCTAGGGTGCACAGCTGTTTCCTCCACTGCTTAGAGCTATGTGTCTGCGCCATGGACATTGTCGAAGAATTTTTAGAAATCACCAAAGCCGTTCCTTGCCAGCAGCATACCCACGAGTGTGAATCCACACAAAGTCAGAAGGAGTGGCCCTTTGTCGATATGGCCCTGAGGTAAACATCAGGGCTTTGATGCAAATGTTTTTAGTTCTTCGAAAGCGGATTCCTCCTCGCTACTTACCGAAGCTGGTTTGCAGGCACTGCCAATGACAACTCCCTCAGCAAGTTTCCCAACCATTTTGTTTCCCTATCTTCGTTCAGGAAGAACCTTCGAGACCTGGTAGACATCGAGCACGCCGACCCTCGCAATTATGCCAGAAAATTCTGGACCTGGTTACACCGACAGCAGTGGAGGAAGATGTTGCCAAAACCAAGGGAGTGCCTTGAAGTAGTTAAGAGAACGCATGGAACTGCAACGAACTATAGATCAACTCTTGTGGGTTCAGCGTCATGCCAAGGATAGAGCTTCTTCTGGTTGATCATCTCCGCGAACAACCAGAATACCTGGACAAATGGCACATTTTCTTGCCAAGTGATGTGTTACCAGCCTAAGTCTTGGTTTCGTCCTGCATGTGATCCATGGATCTGCCTTTGTAGCCTGAGGCTTCATTCGATATACCATTATAATGAAGATTTGTTTATGAAGAAATTTGTTGGCGAACCTGGTGTTGCTTGGCTCTCAACTTGTCTGGTGGGTGCGCTTGTGCCCTAAATACCCACAGTTTGAATCGCCTCCCAAAATCTGAACTGAGGCTTTGGAACTTTTTTGGAAACGTCAGCAAGACACTGAGTGGTTCCGCAGCCATCCCATTCTTGCCAGTGATGAATCTTGGCTAACCTTGCACACCCACTTTCAAATCCCCTCACCAAAGATCGTTTTCCAGCATTTGTCCATTGAGGACTGCCAGCTCCAGTATTGCATCCCCCTTCTATTTCATGGAGATGATGCAGATAGCCATCGGAGAAGGAGTTTTTACACTTGCACAATTTCCTCACCTCTATGCTCGCAATCCAATTCCTGGGACTCACGCATCCTTCTTTGCACCATTGACAACTCCAGGGCCTTGACAGAAACTTATGACACTATTGATGCATGGTTGGTTCACGGGCTCACCGAGTTGCAGGAGGGAAGGTTCCTGACTGTAGATCCTTGGGGGAGAACGTATGACAGGGGATTTGCTGGAAGGGTTTGCGGTCCTTACATTGGCATCTTAGCAGCTTTCAAAGGAGACGAAAAATTTGTCCAACGGGCACTGAAGGTCAATGCGAGCCCGGTCGGTGAGGGCGTGTGCATGTACTGCAAAGCTAGCCAGCATGGCAGGTACATGTACACATACCATGGTCAGTTTGCATCTCATCGATCCACCTTGGTTTCCAACACAGACTTTATTCGGTCGGGATGCCGTATGAATGCATGGGTGCGACTGCCGGGTTTTCATTTGTCACGAGTACTGTTGGACTGGCTTCACCTTGTTGACCTTTGTTTGACGCCAGAGTGCAGTGCGTCAGAGACTTGTTTTTGATTTGAAAGGGTGGGGTAGGTGCATGTGGCTTGGGGCATCTTGGGGCCATAACATCAAGGGTTTTTTGTTTTTGAACAGTTACCCAACTGAGGCATTGATGGAGTTGACCGCAGACAGCTCCGTTTGGAAGGGAGACACTCAGGATGAAAGACTTCGGAAAGCGTTTGTGCAGTTTACTGCTGAATGCAAAAGGCATCGTGTGAGCGCCTGGGCTATGCGCAAGTCGTGGGTGACAAATTTCTTCCTATCCTATCACCGTCGTGTTTTCAAACGGGGTTACCTGTTGAATTGCTGCGCGATTGAGGAAATCGGGGGCGGTGCTTCGCAGTGTGCCTGGGTGCTAACCATTCTAGCTGTTGGACTAACAATTTCCTGCAAGCCACATTGCATTGCAGTTTCTTTCAAGTTACAGTACCTTCCGTCTACTTTTCCTTGATCAGTCTTTGAAAAATCTAGCCCAGGAAACAACTCTATCCGTTGGGAAAAGGCAACTTCCCAACCTTGGTGCAAAAACATTTCAATGGGGCCGACTCTTGCCGCAAACAGGAAATCTGTCGAATGCGTAAAGTCCTTTGCACCCCAACGCAGTAGCGTGCAACAGCTCAGGAAGCAGCAGTGTTAGCAATTTGGTTGAAGGGAATCACATTGGCAGTGGCCGCCGAAAGCCCTGAAGACTCCCATGCTGCGCTTCTCGCTTACGCATTGGCAATCTTGATCCCAGGAATTCTACTTTCTAGTTTCCTGGCATCGCCCTGCCCAAGTTGTTGGATCTGAATCTCAGGTTGAGGGCAGCAGTCTTCGTGAATTTAGTGGCGATGAGGCAGTGCATGGGAAAGCAGGCCAACGGCAAGAGGCAGCTACTGCTTGAACATGAGAGCTTGCAGAAGTTGCGGCATGCCAACTTTCTCTATCATTGTGCGCACAATGGTACCTAGCCTTTATGATCTGCATGTGGTGCTGATGCAGTCCTTGAGTGTGCCAGCTCTGATTGACTTCTCGCTGTGTTGCTTTGCAGTGAATACCCAAGGTTTGGCGCAGGATGCCTTGGAACGCGAAAAACTTCTTTGGAAGCTCCGGCCGAAGCTCCATAAGTGCCTAGCCCGCAACACAAACCTAATGTTTCTTTTGCTGACCAGTGACTACAAAGCAACTCGTGCAACTAGTGTCGCGCTCAGTGGTTGCTATTTGGATTAAGGCTTGACCATCTCGTCCTCGATCAATCCGCCATGATGAATCCCTTGACGGGCTCCAATTACAATGACGAAGACATGATGGGAAATGTAAAGAAACTGTGCATGGGTTCTTCTCCAAATCGGCTTGGTCACCAAGTTTTAGAAAGATATGCAGCGTACGTCTGCTGCAGATGGATGAGAGTTGATTGAAATGAAGTCAGCCACATCAGTGCCTAACGCCCCCAAAAGAAACCGTTGCTTTTATTCAACCCATCCAAACGGCAGCTGTTGGCACCTCCCGTGTGGTGGCGATGGAAAAGGGCAAGGCCGCAGCAACCAGTGGCAGTGGCCGGGGCAGCTGATGGGCAAAACCTGTTTCCCTGGTCAATCTATGGGAAGTGTTGCTTCCCACCGTGAGTTGGGAAATTGGAACTTGGTATTTGATTTCCAAACGATATTTCTTTCAACATAGCCCCAAATTTGCCAGATTTTTTTGATTGCCCAAAGGGGTCTCAATTTGAGGGGCCTTAAGACGCTTCATTTTCTGGACTCAATTTGGCGCCCCTTTGAGGGTGCTGGTATATATTTTTATATATTATATATCACATATTACTTTCATATTCTCTGAAGAATCTGTCTTTCTTGACCTTTCTCAAGCAAAGTATTCAGCGCTAGAGCGCACATGCGCTAATGGCTGGATTCCCGGTGCCACATGCGCTAATGGCGTACCGCCACACATCGCGTCCTTTTCTCCACTGGCCTACCCAGAACCGCAGCATCTTGCATCTCAGGCGCTTCATCAAAGTCTATGTCGGAATCCCTGCATCCCATTAGTTCTGCAGGAACTTGATTGGAAGCCATGGCAAATCGGTTGCGTTGGTCCCGTGGGGGGCAAGCAGCAAGCAGCAAGCATTATGGGAGAACTTCTCAAGACTTCTTGTGGCTTTTCTGGCCTGGGTTCGGGCGCTGCCTGCAGTTTTTCCTACTAATCTAAGTGAACAGGGCCATATATCTATCTTCCCAAAGTCCGACAAAGTATGTATATAATCCTGTCCTGCTTTTCTGTCCATCCGGGGAATGCAAGTTTGTCTCTTTGCCAACTATTTATCCGACTTGAGGGTGATGTCTTGCAAGGCGAATGTTCGGAGGCGACACAATTTGGATTAAATAAACTGTATACTCTTTGCGCATCCTAGCCCAGGTATCTGCATAATTGACAGCTGCAGCATGAAGTTTGCAATTTGCAAGCCAACATGACTGGGTGACATTCCTCTGGAAGTTTTCTCAGCACTGGCTTTCTAAAGAAACTTTACTGAAGCATTCAAATCCCGGTTCAAAATAGTCCTCTTGCTTGGACAACCGGGCCAGTCCATCAAGTCCTGCCGTGAAACCTGCCTTCCAGATCTGCCTCATAATGTCAGCTTATATGGGTGGATGGCAAGCGACAGGCCTGCAGCAAGACATCATGACCATCTGAGAAAATGACCTGGGCGGGCCAGCCACTGATCTTGCACAAAAACATCAACGAGTGCAAGTGGAAGGGAAACAACTGGAATGTGCCGTCTACATACTGTATTTAGTCTTGAGATTCCTAGGCCATGATTCACCATCTTTGCAACCACACGATAAAACCACTCCCGCTCCAGTGGAGCCTCTTCATGCAACGGCAGTGGATAGAAACTCTGGTAAGTTTATTTTGCTTGGTTGCAGGCGGTAGGCAACGGGCAACTGCCAAAACACTCCATTGGAACCACTTGCTTTTGAAACAAAAGTCACAGCTATCATTCCCGAAAAGTGGTGCTATTGACAATGGAACTAAAACATAATGGAAGGACGACAGAAGATCATATCTCGATTTTCAAACCAAGTGAGCGTGCCCTGTTTTCTTCTAACCACCAGACCAAACACTTGTTAACCATGTTTACACTCCCAGTTCCGGAAATCGGAGTACTTCTATGTACTTCTTGCATCCTCGTTACAATGTCATCCTCATGGATACGGCCTTTGCTCACCTCATACTCTAAGACCTGTGCCGACCAGATCTATGGCACAAATTCAAATATGCACAGATTCCAACAGCAGAAAATCACAGGTGTCCTCGGTGTCCTCCTGTTCAGTCACAAGTCAAATTTGGTCAGTGCGTCACACTGGTCAAATCTATCGCATGTTCACCCCAAGAGGGAAAAGAACAGGTTTCGTCAACAGGCATTTTGACAGAGGACCCATGGCATGATAATCTGCTGCTATACAATTTTAAATCGTCCGCTCATATCGTATATATATATATACGTATATCATATGATTAAATGTGATTAATAGACACATATGTCTATATCATGATACCATAACATCATATTTTGTGGTGCACACCGCAAACATATTGCAGGATGGCTATCAGTTCACCTCCTGTAGCATCAAAAACCTCGGATGCAAAGCCACGATTCGGATGCAAAGCCACGATTCCGGTGGGACTGGTTCAATAGGCTCTCATTGGAGATTCATAATTTCAAGGTCCCATGCTTTAGAGAAAAAACATACATCATTTTACAGTACAGTACAAGTCATGCCTTGAACATTTTGACATTTTATGAACTCAGGTCATGCCTTGCCCGTCACATCCCGTCACGTTGGCAGATGGGATCCTCTAAGGTCATGATCCGATCGAGGTACACCGATGGGGCCACTTGGGTCTCGCGACTTGAGGGTTGGCGAATGGTTGTGAATGAGAATGTAGCCCGGCCTGGTCAACAATGGCACACACTATAAATAAATATTAATATGTATGTGCTGCCTGGGAAACCGTGCGTCTTCTGTTCTTTTTGGCAACTAAGGTTGAAGATGACGCTATGCTTGGGGCCGCTTCGTGCAGGGATGGGTTCTGGGGTGAGCGAGTGTGTTGACGTTCCTTGCACTTGCGTCCTGAAGATGATATTAGCGCATGTTGTACAACTAGACACGAGGAAGTTTTGGCAGATGCGAAGAAGACAAAAGATACAAAAGGAGGTCCTGTGAAGTTGCCGCCAGATGTTTTATCTTCTCGCTGTGCTGCGGTGCATCATGGCCACAAAAATGCACTCCATGCAGATGGCTCTGTCTACTGGAACAATCCAAAAATGTTGCGTATGCCGGGAAAATGGTGCAATTTTTAAACCCCTGAGACTACTCTGTTTTTGCCTTCCAATTGAACACTCCAAGAATTTTCATGCAAAACGCAGGAGAAAGAACGTGTTGACATATCATCCAATTTGAGCAAAGTGTGAAACCGCACGCGGAAAACCCTCCGCCGATGTATATGCAAATGTATCTTATACAGAGTTATTGACATTATACTGATACTATATTATACATTATTATACTGCAAATGGCATCATGAACACACCACAATTCAACAAACCATCTCATATGACCTGGCTTGATGACGATTCACCTCGCATTGCCTCGCATTGATGATGATTGGATTACTGGCCCCAGCTCACCATGTACGTCCATCTCTGTATCATCATGGCGTGCCCTGGTTGCAAATTTCCAGCCTCTTGCTGAGCCCCATGACCCGCAGGCCATGGCCCAGTTCATAGGCTGCCTCAGTCGTGGCAGCGGCCCCATGATGTCCCATGTCCACTGGCTTGGGAGGAGCCCTCAACTGAGGTGCTAACTTCTGCAAGGGCACACAGCCCTGGATGTGGGATCTCAGTGCAGTTCGGGGAATGGGACTATCTGAATAAAACTTGTTGTGAGACGGCTTCGCTGAAACCACGGCAAATCCACAAGTTGGGACTTCTGGCATTCGTGTCGGATGACAACATGCCAAATACCATCCCATATGATGGAGACTTTCAGGCACTGCCGGAATCCAAACACCCAATAGCCAGAACTTGGCAATTGTGCAAATGAAGGTGCTATTGTACTATATTCATCTACATTCTATTTATCTCCTATCTACTTCTTCCGTCTCATCTGAATCGAAGCATCCACTTCTGGTGACCCCGGTGACCTTTGTCTCTTGCGGCCCGAACAGTGTCAGAATAGGTGTAGAAATGGACGTTGCCTCAGCTGGAGCTTCAGAACAAGGCCGTCGGTCTCCGTCGGTCTCCGTCGGTCTCTGTTGGTCGTTCCCTTCGTTCCCTTCTGGGTCTCCCACGAGCTCTTGCCTGCCAGACAGTGTAGGCCTTGGTTGTGGCTTGACAAACTTTGCATCTAAGGATAGTTTAAATTATGTTTTCCTTGAAGCAAAACTAATGCTATATTTTCTGAGTGCCTGCTGGTTAGCAGTATTTTTCTGTGCACTACATTTCTCTCAGTTCCCGTATATAGATGTTGAATGATTGATTGATTGGGCTTCTAGAATGTACTCTGGGTTCTACTTGTAGCCATGGCTTCAATGGGAGCGAACTGCTGTCCAACCCAGAAGCAAAATGCTTGATGAAGCTGCATTTCAACAAGGTTGCTTTGTGGATAGACAGGAGTTTTGGACTGGACATGCATTGCCACCCTTCTGAAGATGTTGCAATAGAAGACATTAGCCATCTCCGAAAACGTCTAACGTCGGCATTGGTGGGTTGGCCTGCCACAAAAAGGGACCCCAGACTTCACAACCTCAATATCCTCAATCTCACACTGAGATGAACATACATTAAACATGTTTCTTTTATGCAAATGTTGTTTTCCAAAAATCATAGCGCACAACACCACCACAGAGCTACCAAGGATGAAGTTTGTTTCTTGCCACTGTATCTCCTTGACTTCATGACCCAAACAATGCACAATGTTCATCAAACATCATGTTCATCAAATTCTTGACTTTCCAGACTTTCCAGCGGTAGAGTTTCTGCTCATCGTGTGTTTGGGTGAACTCAGCGGACTCCCAAGAAACACTTCCGGGTAATGCAATGGGAGAAACCAGGCATCTCAGCAGCCATCGCATCGTCACATCTGAGGCCGTGTCGCCGGTATTGGTATGGCGTCATGGGATGTCATGGGACATGGGAACATCAGGAAATGACCATGAAACAAACCCATGAAAAGACCATGTTCAGCCAGGCGTGAGACGGACACCATCTACAGACAAGGAAGCAAGCGGGGTACACACCAGCTATTGCCCTTTTCGTCAAGGCCTGCATGAAGAGTTGCGCAGCAATTTCGCCGCGCCCAAAACCCATTCAGAGGGCCAATGCGACTGAACTTCTAGGTGGGATTTGCTGGACGACAAGTGGAGGCTCTGAAATCAGAGCCAGTGCCACTTACACGATCATAACATATAGAGCGCTATTTTCATACTGGGTATACTCAGTACATTTAAGCATCGATTCAACCATATTTAATCCCAGGTAGAATATGATGTATTCCTAAAGATCTTGCCTTCATTGGCTCGCGACTCTGTCTTAACGAGCCGCAACAGCTCCACAGCGACGGTAAGAAATGTGAGAAGCTATAACATTCATAATCATTCAGAATCATCTATGATTACAGGTTATTATAGTTACTATTGCCCAAACAATCCAAATATTTCTACCACCGGCCGTGCAGAATACCGCTTTAGGAGGGTGTACTGCCTTGCAAACTCAGTCTACATGTGTTGCCATGAGGCGTCTTGTCAGTATGGTTGAAAAACATCTGCTTCATTGATCCGTACTCTACAAGTAATATCGGTATCCATAGGTATTCTGCCTCAGACCGTTCAAACGTAGTACTAGCCAACACCATGGTTGAATATCCCAAAGCCAGCTCTCAAAACCACATTCCACATTGTTTGTTTGTTTCCCTGCACTCAGAAGCGTCTGAGGCCTGTGATTCAGGCGGCAGGCTGAGACATGCCATGCAAAAACATGAAACGGAAACAGGAAACGAAGACCATACTACCTTGAGAATACTTCATTTTTCTGACGCAATGAAACAGATCAAACCATAGACTATTAGAACACATAATATGTATATATATATATTGTGTATATGAAGAATATATATATACATCCATATATATATACATCCATCATGTAAATGTAAATTATATTTGTATAATGTATATATATATATATATTATATTGTCAAACATCGGCTATTTCACCCTCCCCAGATGTATGACCCACGACTAGCACGGCAGGCTGAAGGTTTTTGCACCAAATTTTGCACAGCGAATTCAGACGAGCACTCAGCGCCTGTGGCAGCTGGTGGGAGGTGTCTTGGTGACTCGAATGCTCCAGTGCTGCAAGACACTTTTATATAATCAGAAATCGCCGGAGTGCTACACGTTATCCCCCTCACACATGATGGCGATCCATACAGAAGCGGCATTTTCTGCCCTCTTTTTCTTGGATCGTCAGCCCTAAGGTGCCTATGCCCCAGGCCGCTGGCGGTTGAAGACTTTCAAACCTGGGATTCAAACTGACAGGGATTGACAGGAGCTGCCACCAACTTCCAACGGTTTCGAAAGCTGGATCAGTTGGATGCGGAGGATCAGCCATTTGTCAGGAGCTTAGGGTGACGGATGGTGACGGAGATGGGAGATAATCCAGATACATTGTCCTGTCGATGCAATGTGTAGTAAATTGTCTGACCAAAGTGTTTCCATCATCTTGAGGCATCTTGAGGCCACGGTCAGAACGTAAAAGAACAACAAATCTCAAAGAATGACAATACCTGTCAACAACAATCATCACCACGATGAAAATCCTCTTCCACTGATAGCTTTCGCCAATCCACCCTCCATCACAGAACATTCCCCGCCCTAGCATCAAAGCAACAAAAAACAAAGGTAATCCTCAAGACCGGGATCTAAATATTCTAAATGGATTTAAGACTCACTCCGACCATAGCAGGAATTTTGTAGCACTTGATAGGGCACAGATCTTCTGTGAGTCGTCAACCTCTGCTACTACATTGTTTGGGAAGCAGGACGCGCTGACTGGTACTCTTGTTGTAGGAACCTATTCATAGCTTTGGCAGATTGGACCATTGTCTCCTGGTTTTGGACTCCTGACGCGAACCCAAAGAATGGGAGATATCTCCCAGCTCTCTCTCTCTCAACTTCATCTAAAGGTCTTGAACCACTTGTGCCTTATGGTCGCCGTTGCAGTTGCACGCGCTGCGTCTGAGTCTGGCGATAAGCCCAGGCAAATTTCAAGTCGGTCAACATGTGAATCACCATGCGAAGGATTCAATTTAGATAATTCTGGGTGTGGCAGTATGCCTGAAAAGTAATTGAAAAGTGAGGAGCAAACAACATGTAAAAATTGCAAACAAAGATTTGGGCAACACATTTTGAAGCGAACGATGCTGGATGGTCTGGATGTGCAAGCGACATTGAGCGCCTCTTGCTCGAACTGACTTCGCAGGGCACCTTGCGGCTAGTTTCCGCGCCCACTGAAGCTGAAAAGTCTTGAAAGCAACAGGGATGCTGCTCACATTCCCAAAAGATTTGATCACAGGAGTCCGGACTCTCAGCAAATTGCGATGAACGACCTCAAATGAATTGGCATACGAAATGCCAGGAAAAGCAAGTTCAGTGTTCTCCAAAATCAGGGGATGCCAAGGAGCCGTTGGGTTTCCCTCCTGAACTGGACTCGCAAACCAAGAATTGAGAATTTATGCGAATTTGGGGTCATTTGGGGTCCCTGATCTTGGGGAACACCCGCTTCAGAATCTCCGCGTGACTGTGGTGATGTCTGTTGGAAACTCTTTAGCGGTTTGTTTGCTTTACATATGATGCAAGTTCAAACGACTCCATCCAGAGCAAACAATGGATCGGAAATGATATCCTACATTTGTATAAACGATCAACATCGTTCATGGATGTGCATTCTTGACATACAGCTGCTTTCAACTTCCACGGCAAACTACAAAAATCCTAATTCCTTGGTGAAATGGGAGTCTGACTCACGGATGAAAGTGCCACCCCTTCATCTGAAATCTGTTTAATCTATATTTAATCTATATTTAATCTATATTTAATCTATATTTAATCTATTTAAATCATTTTAAATCTATGAATCTGCTTCCAGAATCTTCCAGATGGATTCGCTGAGCTGGAACCCATGTGAACGTCATCTCGCTACAGCTTTGAGTTGGCCACACACGTCCAAGAGCTGCCTCCGGAGGTCCACACGGTCCTCTGCCGCAATGCATCGCAGCTGTCAACGCCAGCATCACCAATGATCCGGATACATTATGATACATCTTTATCATTCTTTATCCTCATCAAAACTGTCCATTTATTTCAGGTTGATCCAGGTTGATGCTGCAAACAGCTGTGCCATGCTGTGCCCATCACCTGGCATCTACAGCGAACTTCACCCCTCCTGTACTGTTTCAATGAGCTGACGACGAACCTAGGGCGCTGCAAGCCAGGGCATTTCACACAAATCTCACACAAGTGACACAAGTGAGATTGCAGAGAAATTTGCTTCAAAGATCTTCAAAGACTTGGATAGACTTTAAATTGAGGAGTTGAACATAGACAGAGACGAGCGCTGGCATGTGTGACAACGAACTGTTGATAGCTGGCTCCGGGTGCCGCGCAAGGTCAAGCTCACCTGCCTGGCTTTTTGATGCCTCGTGGGCTAAGCACGAGTGCTGGCTGTGGAATCCTCTTCCATCCTTCCGTGAATGAAAACAGAATCCCCAAAATTGGCAGTGGGCCAGGATAGGCTATCCACTCTTCGCTGCAAGCTAACCCGTCCATTTTGTCATCCTTCGAAGGGACCCGTTCATATCCTGCAATGACCTTCCCAATTCTTTCCCGTGCCTCCAACAACTCTGCGAAAGACTGCGCTTGAAGCCGTGCAGCCTGGCCAAAGGTTGCATGTCACGCCTCCCCCTGGAATCTGCACATCTGGGCATGTTTCGAGAAGGCAGCCAGGTGAAATTGCGCAAATCCACTAAACATATCTAAACATTCTAAACGTTGCATAACATCTTCATGGAAACGTAGGCCAACCATGCTAAAATATATTAACATCTCAATCTGAAGTGTGTTGCTCACCAAGGGATTCACACAGGTAGAAAGACTTCAGCAAAATCGCAGTTCTCCTTCTTGAGTTTCTAGCTCGTCAGTCATGGGCTGTGGACACTTTTGTCTTCGGCCCCTCTCGGTTGGCTGCCCACCTGGTGGCAGCTCAGTGCACAAATCTTTCTAGTTGAAAATGTTCATCAAAAATACCAAATTGTTTAGCGGCAAATGCTCAGCGTTAATTTACACCGGTCAATGTTGAGCACGACAAGTTGAAGCACTGTGTGAGGCTGAGCATTGCTCATGTGGACACAGCGTTTTCTAGTTGAAAATGTTCATCAGGAAGAAAAAGTTTTTCAGGTTTAGCGTCTTATACACAAACAACGTAGCAAGGGATCACTGGGCTTTCCAACACCGTATTGATATGTTCTTGGCAGTTTGGTATCAAAAACCCTGAAGCGCGTTTGGACGTTGGTTAAAAAAAAGAAAATTGTTAAAAACTGAACATTTAATGAACATTTTACATTTGATCAAAACATACCAGTTCTTTCAGCGCTTCTCATTCTTGCTTATGCACTTGTTGGAACATGTACTGTGTCTTGAGTGAGCGGAACTCATCCAAGGCTTCTAGTATCACAGCTTCTCAGTTTCGAGAACCAAATCTTGCAGTTCCATCCTTGGCTTCTACGGCCCCACAACAGTTCCACCCAGAAACAACTGTTCCTGTTCGAAAGCTGTTACATATTGTTAAATATATGTTGGTTCGGGTACAAGCAATGACCAGTCGTCGTGTTGGAAGGAGTTGCATCTTCTGAACTTTCTCAAACACTGTCACTTGCCTCTAACCTTGGTTGTGGAAGGCAAACAGTGAAACTTTCCACGGTAGACGGTAGCCAGAGTACCTTGAAGCATGCATGATCCAGGAATGTACCTATACACATTATGTATACACGCACCTACTCTGTACTCATATACAAAAAAAATCAAACAAGTATTCGTCCCAGCGGCAACAAACCGGGGACCTGCTTGTGCTTCAGACGATTTTCCTTGGAAAAAGCCAGATAAGCCACGGCCACACTTGAGCTCATCAACCAGTACAAAAACCCAATTCAAATCAAACATACTCAAACATTTTTGCCACTGGCATCCACATCATCCACAGCCTCACCTCTTGAATCTTGAAATTGATGATGCTGCCATATCCTGCCTATTTGTGGCCTTGGAACGTCTGTGCCTGGTGCCACTGCACTATTTGCTCAACGGTCTTTGACCCCTTTGACATAATTATTATACTTTGACCTTCCAACATCTTGCAACCGGAATCAATCGGACTTTTCGTGTTCCGACTTGAGAAATGCAAACCTTGCAGGATGCCTTTGTAAACTGTCTATCATCCCAGGATCGCAAGTGGAGATCGCAGATGCATAGGTCACCCAGTTTGGAACCAAGCGCCCTTCTTTCTCCTTGAAATGCCAATATTCGCACTGTTCATATTCGGACTACGGATGTCAAACAATCTTCTAGTTTCAGCTGGAATCAGTGTGCTGAGAACAAGCGATTCAATCTGAGTGAATGTTGTCCATACACAGTGTCGGGAAAACATGGAAACAAATGAACACAATGGGAAGAAAAACAAAATTGTGCAAACAGTGCAGTACTGTGATCATCGCCAGTTCCAACTTGTGATGTCTAAAAAGCGTAAAAAGATGTCCCAAATTCCAACCTCCTCAAATCTTCCCCACCTGCTCCAGCAGTCCCAAAGCCACTTGCCACTGCTCACCCGCTGAGCATGCCAAGATTGCTGCACTGTACGTGATGCTGGTCGCCTCTATGCTGCCTTGCATCATTTCCTGAGCAGCTGATACAAGTGGGTATGAGCTGGTGTGAGTAGCTTCAAGCTGTCTGCTCATGTCCGCTGGATGCATACCCTTCCCTAGAACATGTCTCATTTGCGCGGTTTCGGTTTGGTTCACATCTACAGAATCTACAAACAGTGTCGCTTGAAGTTGCCTCGTCCATTCATGAATGTAAACAGGTTTGCTACCCATCTGGAAGGCCAAGAAACTGTCAACATCTTGGGACGGACAAAGTATATACATCGCTGAGGGCTCACCAAACTTCTACTAGCAGAAAAAACGTACCATTTTGATATATATATATATATTATAATAGACTAATATGGAATCAACCAAGCACATGGCAACATTCACCAGCCATCCCCTGATCTCCCAGTGTCTGCCAGGAGGTCTGTTGCACCTTGCCAATATCCAGCCTCCACATGTCACAGGGTATGTCAGGGTGGAAAGAAAACCAGGATTTCCATGGAATTCCGATTAATCTTGTCCTGCTGTGGAAATTCATAACAGCAGCCAGGGTATCCGCTATGCAGACTTTCATCCTTCCAGCTTCATGAGAAGATGAGAATCCATAATTAGATGGTCAATAACTTCCTGTTCCCCGACTCCTTTTGACTCCTTTTGCAAAAGATTCACTTCAAGTTTGAACTTTGCAGGGACCTAAAAATACCTAAAACATTCTCAACCCCCATGTTGAACACCTCATGTCACAGCTCAGCCAGAACAGCCACTTTATTCCCTAGCATGCGCCGACGCACCTTCTCAGCTGCACTGATTGCTGCATTGAAAAGGACGACATTTGGCTGGACTTTGCAGTGTTTGATGTCTGACCTCGCGTCGCGCCCAATGCAGCAAAAATATGCAAAAATGGTATCTGGGATAGTTATAGGATGTTATAGGCACATTGCATACCTCGGAACAATCAAACAAGGTCTCTCTGCCAGTACCTCTTTCCTAGCTTGTCCATTTGTTTTTGCCTATCGCAGCCAGGATGCTTGGCGACCAATCTCGCCAAAATGAGAGGTTTGAATGAGGTTACTAGGAACGATCAAACTTTCAGCAACGTGGGCTATCGATTGGTGTGAAGACAACGCATGGATACAGTATCTCAGTAGTTGATCACCACCTGAACCATTTCTCTCTAAGACGTCGAGGTTAGCGACATTAGACAATTTCGTTGTTCACGTCTCTTGTCCTATGTCCACCTACACCTGCTGGCTGTGCACTGTCACTAATATGCTCAGGCCGATGTCACTCTGTTTTCAAGCAGAGTGGTCGTTCAACCATTTTCAACATCAAATGATGAGGAGTCCATGCTTCAACCATCAATGAATTTTCCATGAGGTGTTCTCTGAGGTCCAAGCAACAACCGCTCCAGCACATCCCATGAGCTGGATCGTTCTGCTGCACTGATCGTGGCGCTACACACCTGGTCTTGCTCTCAACAATTTGATTCCTTTATCTTTCAAGTCCTGATATGGCTCAAAAAAATGGTTTACAATGGTCAACAGTGGAGTCAACAGATATCACAATTATATCAATATATATATATAATTATATATCACAATATGTCGAGAAATGATTCGAAGATCTTCAAATGGATTCAATCTGCACTGAGTTCCAGGCGATGACATCAGGGGTCAACTGGTGCCTGAGCGGAGATGGGTTGCAACTGATGTTTCTTCACCGCTTCTAGGATCTTCTAGGTTAAGAATTGGTTCAGTGAGATCATCACTGCATCTGGGGTGTTTGGAAGGTGTCCATGGTGTCCATGTATGTCCATGTTTAATTCAGTTTAGTTCATTTTACTTTTTCATCCGGGATGCTCTAGCAACTCGTAGAAAAGGGCCACAGCATTTTCCCAATGCTTGCACTTTTCGCAGGCGCTGGTGGCTGCGCTGTAGGCAACCACATTCACCTCACAAAGTGGTTCTGGCGGTAATCCAAAGGATCATCAAAATGCGTCCAATGGACAAATCCAGTCAAAGCGGATTGTGTCATCTACAGTAAGTCCACCATCATACCAAGTCATACCAGTTCCAGAGTGCATATGATCACTTGGTCGAACACATGTGGCTGGCTTGAAAACGCGTGATTCTAAAACCGTTGCTTGGTAAAACCATTTCAAAGTACCAAGCAGGCGAGGGGGTTGAAACAATTTCAGGGAACCATGGCTGCAAGTAATACTGAGTACTTACATGCCATCATAGAATATGCACTTCAATGAACCGTTATGAACCTATATTCAAAGCACATCAAAGCACACCAAAGTAACGATATCAATCTCAGTTTTTGTACTGTAGACTGTACTAGCATACACTACACCTCAGCACCCTAGCCGCACTGAGATCGCCATGGTTGTGACATGTCGTGACTGGCCTCCATCTTCTTGTCTTGCATCAAACGAAGAAAGCCCAAGGCCAAGGACCATTGCTGCCCTTTCTCGCAGGCACCTCGCTTTGCACGGCGTATAGGTACCAACCGACTTCCAAAAAAGGGTCGTGACATGACGAAAGAAGAACGTCCCAAGAATTGTCAAGAATCACGATATACTATCTGTAAATCTTTGTGGACAACCAGTACCATCATGGGTAAACCCAACAGTTGAAAATGAAACAGTGCGGAATGGATCCGCAAAGAGGAAACATGAGGAAACAAATGGAGCTGCACAGGTCAATGCTTGTCATGGGCATGTAGATGTTTGAAGCCAAACAGAGCTACTAAGGCGCGTGCTCATCACTGCGCTGCAAGCAATCACGTTTAAGTCAACTTTCTGTTCTTGCACCTGCAAACAGAGACTTTCTGACTGGGACAGAAACATAATATATATATATGTATAGATATATAAACAATTATAAACACAAAGGGTCAACAGGATGCGAGAGGAATAGTGTTGGCATCTTCTTTCAGACATGCATGGACATAGGACGACATATGACAATTATGACATAAGAATACATAAGATATCTTGGTCGGTGGATGAACTCAAGCCACAATCATTTGCCTGACGAGTGATGGCCAAGGCGAGTTCCCATTGACTGTCTTGTGCCAGGGCATTCAGCAAACTGGCACTGGTCACCACTGTAGGAGATTCAGCACCTGGATGGATGCCACAAGGGGGTTGGATCCACTGGTCTGGTTGCTCTGGATACATTTTTCTGCCGTCCTGCCCCCCCGCCCCCAGTTCGTTGACAGTTAAATGCTTTGTGCACACGGTTGGGGAAAAGTTATGTATATAAGAATTCACGGAATTCAATGTGTATACGGATATGGACAGATACGTACAGTAGATCGGAAACAAACCAAACCCGTCAAGCAAAATGATAGCTGCAAACCGGGAAAACTCATCACCAGCTGCCAAGTCTCCAAACAGTTGGAGAGCGGCTTCCCACTTTGCTTCACATGCAGTGATTGCAGCGCCAAGGACGATGATGTTCATTCCCTCGGCTGTGTCATCTGATAGGACATGTAAGTTGGAGTGTTCAGTGTCTAGATTAGAAGGGACTGGTGGCTCTGCAACATTCACCATGTGCAGCCAAGAATGCTCAGAGTTTGCAAATCCGGTTTGCTTTGTTCACATAGTCAGTCCAGGGTGGGCATTTGCAGAAAATACTGTTCAACGCAACGTGCTCCCAGTTAATTACACATCTTTCATAGGGCCAGCTGACCCATGTCACCATTAGAGTGCCATCGTTTGAGTATGAGTGCACGGACGGATTTCTCTCGGTACTCCAAAAGGGCTAAACGGATATCGTCATAATGTGTGATGTATGACGAACACTTGTAAGCATTGTAAGATATTGCAAGTTTCACCATGGCGCTTCAATCCAATACATCACCTGATGAGGTCCAAGGCACTATCTTCTGCCTGTGCATATCACGAAGCAGCTGCAGTGCCACTTCCCAATGTCCACGGCAAACGTTCAGCAGGGTACCGTAGGTGACCACCTGCGAAAGCCAAGCAGGTGCAGCGCACAGCACAACTGCAACTATCATATATACATATAGTATATAATTTGTAAGTATATAATAGTAATAATAATAATTAATAATGATTATTATTATTAAATGGAGTTTAGATGTGGATGCATTTAGATTTAGATGCGTTTAGATGATCTGCGTACATGTATGTAAGAGTTTAGTATTGTGATGCATGATACATTTAACAGGTCCACATCATGTACAATTGCACAAGCTGAACTTTTAGTGAGAACTGTTACAACATGTGCATTGCAAGATCCAGTATGACAAAGAAACCGGAAACGCTACGGTCTTCACAAAAAGACACATGCATCAGCAAAGTAACCGCTGACAGGTCGTGAATTCTGCGTCAATTCAGTTTCTATCCCAGCCACTGTGGGGAACATCTGCTTCAGTCTCAGCTCCTCCAACAACTCCAAAGCTCTGCGCCAGTCACAGGCTGCCATAGCTGCTGTGTAGCTGACCCTGGGCTCCAGATGGCTCCAGGCGCATACAGCTCATGGTTCGAAAAATGGCACTGGTGGTGGTTTGGTGTCTTTCAATGTCTTTCAACTCATCAGTTCATACCTTTTCACTTCTGAAATCAAGCCGTTGAAGGTCGGTCTTGAAGGGCTGTGATAGATCTGATTGCATCTCACAACTGCCCTTCCAAACTTGCACAGGGAGGGCTGCTATCAAAGTGGGGTCAAATTTGTCCCTGCAACCGACTCAAGGTGCTTCCTTGGAACAAAATCTCGTTCAAACAGGACACGCAGACGTTGGCACCGAAGTCTCGTTCATCTCTCTAAGCACAGCAACAGCTTCCTCCCAACCTTGATGAGGTGGCAAATTGAGTGGGTGGATAGAAAATGGTTTCTGACACCAAACACCTGCAAAGTACATAAGGCTGTTTTGGAGCGTCTTCAAACAACTATGGATATAATGCTCATCATGCCACAAAAAATATGCAGATAGAACAAACTTTCACTGAAAAGTTGTGTGATCATGATGCTTGGTGGTTCTATGCAGCTGGGGGAAGCGTGCTTTGACAAGAAAGGCACACCTGCTACAAGTAAGATGCTAAACTGAGACAGTGAGAGTGAATACGACAGCACGGCATTTTCTTCTGGTTTCACATTGAAGTCTCTTGCACCAGGCTTGTCCAGCTCTGGTTCCAGAAGAGCATGTTGGCCATCCCTCAATGTTCAGATCGTTAGAAAACCACACTCCCACATCTTACCCTTTGAGAACCCGGAACGTTGACCATTGCCACACGCGGAAATCAAGGCATTCATCAGGATGGTGTTGGGCCTGCTGCTGGGAAACATCCTACTTTCATCGGAGGGTGGCCCCATCCTGGCCCATCATGGCCATCTCTTGTTGAACCGCTGAGATGAAATGCGGGGTATCATGGACAATAAAAGAACTTTGCCCGAAAAGGCATCTGCAAAAGTAAACCTCCGTCAAACATCTACAACACATAATCGAAAAGAACTAATCATGATGTTCTCTATCTATCTATCCATCCATCCAACTATTCTGAATTATATTAATACACGTATATATATATAATATACACTGCACAATTACACAAATAACTACATATTATATATATATCACTTATGGTATCTTATTGTACGAGTATTATATTGTAATCTTATTGTAATGTATTATGTTTATGTCACTGCTCGCCTCAGCGTCGCCTGGCGCAGCGGCCGCAGCAGCTGCAGCGCCTGCGTCCAGGCGCTGGCGGCGCCGCAGGCCGCGCAGCAAGCCGCGTAAATCACCGTGTCGCCCAGCAGCTGGTGCCTTGCGAAATGCCACGGGGCGGGGCCTGGGCCTAGGCAACTGGGAAAACTCTCGAAACTATACCAAAAAACGATGAAAAAACATTGAGAAAGCGAGATTTGCAGAATTGGATATTTTGTGTGAGAAAATATGCCATAATAGAATCGATAGTTGGCACATGTTGGCACTGTTTAATATCTTTTAATGAATTTTAATGCACAGTTTGGGATGGAGCATGCAGAGAATGGTGGAAATCCTTGCTGCATGGAAAGGTGCTTGCCCACTGACGAGTGTGAAGTTGGCTGAACCATTGTGCCAATCCCCAGCAGCAACGGCTTTGGCTGTGGCACACCCAGGGCGTAAAATGGCTTTAGTGGGATCAAAATAGTAGTCTATGGCCAACAAACAGGCAAACAATCTTGACAGCTGATCACCATGACATGTACACTCTATTGAAATAGAAGAGGCAAGGGTTTGGCAATCATCGATAGCCCGTCCACCAAAGCAATTCCTACATGCTTGATCAACCACTCATCACCGGCAATGGTTCTATCACCATTTTGGGCGTGGTTCGAACTTGTTTGACCCCTCCAACTGGACGGGTTCATAGTTCATACCAAACACTTCCAATTTTTCCAATTTGGGTCCCCCTTCGACTTTGCGACATTTCGTCATTTTGAAGACTTTGCCAGGGCACCGATCCATGCAGTCCAGCAAGTTGATGGCGCTCTCCCAGCTGCCCTTCTCGCACGCGGAGACCGCTGTGCTGAAGGACACTACGTCCGGTTGGCCTGGTGCAGGGCTCGGAGTTGCACAAAGGTGACGGAGAACATCGGAGAACGCAAAACAAATGCAAAACACGCATACATAATGTACAAAATGCATACATGATGTACAAAATGCATACATGATGTACAAAATGCATACATGATGTACATGAATATGATTGAATATGTATTATATGTATTATCTATTCATTAATTCATTATCACATATTTTTTTGACTTCAAAAGTGGTCACTGGTCCAAATGGGGTCTTCAAATTGTTCGGATAATGTTTCTGGAATGCTGGATCTCTGGATCTCTATTTTTAAGGTATGTGGAGCAGATTGCATATGACAAATCCATGCAAATTCACTAGAGCATGTTTTTGAAAGTTTTTGACTGTTCATAAGGGACAGAAGCAAGATGCACAATTTCAGTTGGATTTACATAGCTTTCATCAACGGCAACAGGAACGATGTCATTAGTATTAGCAAACTGTTTGTTTGACTTGTTTGGCTCGCCTGATACAACACAATTTTCTTGAAATTCTTCCCCTGCACTGGTACAAAGGAAACAAACACATCAGTGCTTCTTCTAAAGCCTTTAAATGAGTTGGTGCTGGGTCGTTCTAGCAGGGAAACTATGCCAAATCATGGAACAATGGAAGAACTCTGCGAGGCAGCATCTGGCGCAACCACAACACCCTGCCTGCAGCCATTAGCTCTGCAAATAACTGGAGAGCGTGGGGCCACTGCCGGGCTTGCCCGCACAGTTTCATGCAAACGCCTAGGGAATTCCTAGGGACAGAAGCTGTTGATAGATTTGATATGGTCCTATGGTGATGATATGGTGTACTAGCGACAACGCTACATAACCTACTTTGAAACATAGACCCAGAGGATCTAACGGGATCTAAGTGATCTAACTGGACAGAGACTAGTCTTTATCCAAAAAGAGACCAAGTTCAACCCCCAGCAACTCGGTTGCATTCTTACTGTGCCGAAGGCCTATCCCGACATGAAACATCGTTGTCGTTAGTTTTGTTGGCTCGGTGCAGCTTGGAGGCTCACTGCAACATTGTTGCCCACTCCTGCAGGGCTCTGACGGGGATATCAACGGAATTCAATGGATATCATGAGTCCTGAGTACACAATACCAAGAACGCCATTCCACAACATTCCACGACAGCATCAATCGAGAGCACACTGGACCTCGCTATTCAAAACACCTACTTGTGAGGATGGGGCGAGTGCTTCCTATCGCATCAGCACAATCATTGCTGCTGGGTCAAAGAAGCAAGGCTATTGACTTCTGCTGGACTAGTAGAGGAAGCTACATGATGATTTGTTTTGGAGCAGAAATCAAGAAGCTGCAAAGCTAAGCATACGTATATATGATGCTAAACATACTCGAAAAAGAGAGGAACTAACGTGACAAAGAAGTACTGTTTCCGCAAATGTCTGTTTTCCTCTGACTGCTTGTGACGAGGTCTTGTGTTTACCTAGGTCGAGCTCTAGAGCCAGAACAGTTACATGGACAACAATGAACCTGAGGTATGATAGATCATGTGCCTTTCAAGTCGGGTGTTCTCCTGTAAGTTGGTGAGATGCTGTAACTGGCTCGAGCTCAAACTTCGGTATCTGTGTTTGCCAGAGGACGTGTCCCTCTGGTCTTCATGAATTCAGCGGGGTGTAGTCTTCGTGCGTACCCCTTCATAGCATTAATTAATTGCGACCGATCGATGGAACCTTTGGTCATTCCATCGGCTATCATGTCGCGTGTGTCGACCCATCCTAAAATCGTGATAATCTTCGAAATGGTCAGCTGCTTTATCCATGAGATATGAGAAAGTAGTGACTTTTCCGTTGGATATTTGAAGTTTTCATTTTCCACCGCACTGAAAACGGACCTGGCGTCTATCCAGACATAGAGTTCGATAAGGTAACCGCCATTTTCTCGTAAGTTTATACTGGATTGAGGACTAAGGGGTCCGAAACACATTTCATGAAGGGTGGTTATGATTATAAAACTTTGATCAACGGAAGCAGTGAGTGCCAACAGCTCAGCGGCGAATGTGCTGCGCACCACGAGCTTATGAGATTGAGAGACAGCCTCAATCAAATGGCATCTCTTCACTCCTTTTACATCAGTTCCCATTCGAAGATACACCGCACCTCTCAAAGCGTATCCCTTATCATTTTCTCTGGAGAACGCTGAATCGGAATATAGCTCAACAACCCTGCTACAAGTCATTGAGCTATACTCTAATCTCTGGGGACGACGTTGAAGCTCTCGGGTGAGTGCATTCAGTCTTTTGACATGTGTAACAGTGGGGTTCTGAGTTACACGTTGGAGGGAAATTATATAGACTAAGACCCACGCCTGTGTTAGGGCGGAATAGGCAACGGCTCCTAACAAGCTCCAATACAGCGCTCTGAGGTGCTCGGGGCATTGTGCGTCCTTCTGGAGATTGGCATAGTGTTTTGGGTTTATAGGTTTTAATGCACTAAGATATTCTGTCTGATCAAGAGTGATGGTTCCATCTGGGAGTCTTTTATGACAAATACCACAGTTTGTAAATTCACTTTCTTGATACGTCAATTTCCCAAAGTGTCCTTCCAGAGTTTTAACCAAAGAGTCTATTTCTGATTTCATACCTGCCATTTTAATATCATCTACATGGACGGTTATGGCTAAGACTAGGGTTCCTTTCTTATGTAACATTAACAATTGGGGGTCATACAAAGATGCTCGGAACCCTAATTCCTTGAGGATGTTGATTAGCCTCAAGTTGAATGCTCTGGGAGCGTCTCTACAGCCAGTGCCAGGCTTCAAGCATTTGAGAGCTTCCGTTCGCTCATCAAAATCTTCATATCCTGGGATCCGCCTGAGATGTTTGGCTGTTCCTGCCGGGACGGTAAAGCTTATGTGTTTCTCGGGCTCTCCAGTCAACTTGTTCATCTCGGAAAATGTAAGCCCTTGAAGAAATGTTTTGCTTATGTCCACAGCGACAAAGATCCAATCTTTGTGGCAGGCTGCTTCACTAGCTAGAATCTTTTGGGATGTTCTTTGCGCAGTGGCCGAGAAGTTCACTTCATCTTCGGTTTGCGGTTCCTTGAACCCTCGCAAGGCCAATCGCATCCTGATGATGCGCTTCCCGTCTACATACTTCCACTTAGAAACTAGCTTGGCGTCGATCAGAACTTTACACTTCTTTTTGGGGATTCGTTCAAAACAACCATATTTGTGCCAGGTTTCATACTCTTTAACAGTTGCTTCATCAACTTCCTTGCGATGGTCAATTAATTCCTTAGTTGTGAGCAAGTCCGTATCTCTCTCGATGACTTCTTTCTTGGCTTCTGCATTAAGGAATACTTTCATTAAGTTGGGTTTAGACACATCGCGACTGTCTTGGAAGCATTCAGTGATGTTCTCTGAGATCAACACTTCAAGGAATGGTTCATCATTTTCATCAAACTCAAAAGTGTGATCATACTCGTCGAAATCTGGACTAAATGTTGGTGGTATTGAATCCCAATCATTATGGTTGTCTGGACTTGAAAAATAACACCAATCATCTTTAATCTCCACATCTGATACTTCATCTACCGGTTCGTTGAGAACTACCCAGCACAGCTCCTTGAGATCACTTTGGATTTCTTTGGGAGCACCTTCGAAGTGTTGTATGTACAATGCTTCAACCTCGGGAGAGTCAATGCTAACTTGAGATTCCTCAGCGATCGTACTGAGCCGCCCATCACTACGACCCACCTCGATCTCTCGATCGAGATGCGCCATAGCCGACGGACGGTCCAGCACTTTCTCCTCGAAATCATCAAGTGTCATTCCGACATCTCTGTCTAGCATAAAACACTGCATGGTTGCCACGAAGGACTCCTGTGGACCAAAGATTTTATTGATGTTTTGTCTTGGATGATCGGCAACATGTATGAGCATTGCATCTGGGTTGTTCATGTTCCAATTGAAAATCACATTGCGGTATCTGTCTTCCAGATCCTGCAGCTGTTTGATTTTATGTCCAATTCTTACAGTGCAGATATCATCCATCTGGAGGGAATTGGTTATGATGAACTCTAGTGCTTTTGAAATTTTGGGCCATCGTTTGGTGGTTCTTGTCAGTCTGTCATTTACATACCCAAAAACTTCAACACGGCCATCAGGGAGTTCATTCAAAAATTGATGGATGTATTCCATGGCATTCAAACAGATATCCGCATTGGTGTGTCCGTAAAGAGAAACTGTTGCATAGTATTGTGCTGGGCGTACATCCTGGAGGCGATATGGTCTGGTCTGTCCATTTATTTTAAGAGCTACAATGCCATCTGCGGCTACACACTCTACGACTTCATATGGACCGGTCCAGCCACTCATGTCTTTGCTCGGGGGCGTTCGGTATAACTCTACCAAGTCTCCTTTTGCAAAACGGTTTTCTCCCGACAAGGCAGTTTTGGACCCCAGTGCTCTTTTGATACGAGATGCACTCGTGGCTGAAACCATAGACTGCAATGCAAGTTCGCGGATGCGAGCATCAACTCTCTCTTCCAAGCCGGCATTGTCGGTGATTGGCGGAAGGCAAGCTGGCTGTCTTCCCATCACTACCTGGTAGGGTGTAACTCCTCCTACATGTGTTAGTGCGTTACCCATAAAGACGCTATTGGCAAGTAATGATGGGAAGTTGATGTCAATACCTTCTCTTATGGCTTGGGATTCCATCACATGCATAGCATGTCTTAAGATCGCTCCTCTCCTTTCGATGTACCGAGCGTGTTGGTCCTTGCCTCTTACCTTTAAGACTACACCCATGCGCTTCAATCTTGCTTCAGCACTGGATGAAGTCAAACCAGCCTCACTGTCGGTGACAAGCTGTTGAGGTGGGCCAAAGATGGATACCCATGCTGTGTGAAAATTGGTGATTAATTGATCTTCTGTTTTGTTAGGAGTTTCCACAGCAACATGCCATCTGGTCGCTCTGCAAATAAAATGATGTACAACAAATTCTCGATAGAACAACAAATCGGTTTCTACTACTTCGTTGAAATTCATGGCCAAAGAGACAGAGGGTTGAGTATCTTTGGCTTTCGGTGCCCACTTGCGGCACTCGCGGCAAGTTGAAATGATGTCAGGAATGTAGCTTATGACTTCTTCAGGTATGCCTGCATTTCTTAAAACGCTAGTCATGTTGGTGGGGCCTGCATGCCACCATCTTAAATGTAGCTTCCTGAGTGTTCGAATAATAGTTGGTTCATGGCTACTTCTCAAGTCTTTTAGACTATGAGTGACATCAAATCTAGACCAGTCAGATGGATGTTCACTAAATGCGGCCGCATCCCGGAACTTTCGATAAGGGCCTCGGAGTCTGCTCTCAGCGGGTTCGCCGTCATCTGGATTGTAGGGGACAATCCTGTCTTCTACTGGAGGTGCTGCCCCTACGGCTGAACTACTAGCAGCTCCTTCACCGGCTCCCAAATCGGTTCCATCAGGCAGTTGAGCCTGAGAGTCTTGAACCGGAAGTTCATCAGCCCGCTTGGCTGGTTCTCTGGGATGATGGCCTTTTCGATGAATGCCCTTACGGTGAGCTATGGTCATGTGTTTGCACTCACCTTGGGCATAAGTATGTGAACTGTCACCAGCAGGTTTCATCTTCTTACATCCAGGGCATGTCCATATTACGGGGGCATCTAAAGGATATTTACAGGTGTCAGGATCACGAGTGTGCCTTGGATCATTTCTATTTAGATGTCCTTTACATCCTGGGCAAACTGCTGGTCTCTTATCTGGATCGTCAGCGGGTTCACTACTTGGCTCGGATGCATCAGTGCTCGTGCCGATAGTTGGATAGGCATACTCCCTAGAGTTGACCAGTTCTCGAAGGTTGGTTATTCCGTCCACTATAGATGTTGCTAGTTTCCATGTCCATAATTTGCAATGGCTAGCTTTCCCTCCTTCGAGTAGTTCATGTTCATGACTTCCGTCACAAACATACTTAGTCAATGGTTCTAAGAGAGCCCTATGATTGGCGATGAATCTCGTGGGTTTCTTAGCTGGTCCACCATCAGGGCCCTTTTGGCC